CTAAAACTACAGCCAAGTTCCTCAGAGTGTTTTTAAAACGACACTTAAGTCAAAAGGTGGCTGCAGTACGGTGAGCTGTGAGGGTGGCAGAATGTAACTTATGCTTCCTCCATACACAGTGGCAGTGCTAGATACAAGTTGTAAAATTAGAATGCCATGAGTAATCAAGCTGGCAAAAATAATAGAAAAAAAATCTGCTGCTCCCCTTTCACATTAGGTATCTCTACATGCGCGCATCAAGAAATCATTCCCAGATAAACGATTTACAATCAGTCACTTGCTGTAAGAGAAATAATGCCATAAGAACTGCCTCAAACCTCATCTTTTTTTGTTTTTTTAAGTGCATTTACAGTGTGCAGCAATTATCCTGTGCCAGAAGTCTATTGTAATGGCATTATGGAGAGCCACAGAGCTGAAAGTGAGTTCAGATGACAGAGCTGGGTTAAAAACTGTGGGCTAGAGCTTGCCATGTGTTTTAAGCAGATTACAATCTAGAGGGAGTTTTACTTAAATATCCATGACACAATTAAAAGAATCTTGTTTCTATTATTAATAAAGCCTTAGGGTCAGATCATCAGTGTAACAAATTTACTGAAGTTAATAGTGCTATATGCACTTAATACCAGTGGGAGTTGTTAAAAGTATTACAGCTGAAATAATTTTATGGCTAGATTAAACATTGTTTATGTTTATACTGCTGGTTCATTTTTAAATTTCTACAAATGGGCAGCAAAATTCCTCAGTTACTGCTGTTCTCACACACTGGCATGGTGTTGGCTGAATAGCTTCTAAATACTCAAAGAGAAGCTGGGAACCACAATCACCTACAGTTGCATTTACAGACAGCTATCAGTGAGTTAACAAAAGCTTTTGCTAACATTAGGCTTTTCCAGGAAGATGAATATGGGACTAGAGCACAGCAACAGACACAGGAGGGATGGGGCCGGGGCTGTATGCTTGGGTGTGTGATTCAGCCTGGTGGAAATGCGTCCAAGTCCTGCTTGTGTCAGCCTGAAGTGTGCTCCTCACGTCTGAAGTTATCCTGGGTCCTCTAGCATCGTAGAAATTTCCCATTCCCCTCAAGAATATTGAAGGGGAAGAAAAAGACCAAATTCAAAAATATTCTACATATAATCTGTTTTTGGTTTTGTTTTTTTAATCTAGTCAGAAAGGGTGACTTGGAAAGCAGGCCTTCAGCTTCACGGCACTTTACAGACCAGTCTGGGGTAACTCCACTGAGCTAACGCTCTGTACATCACACGCAGTGCTTTCAAGTTACGTGAAGGATGGTGGAAGAATGTCATTAATCCTTGATAAGCAGTAGGGATTATAATGGCCTAAAATACTGTTCATGTGTTTTACCTGAAAAAGCAAGACCAGCATATAAAATACTCATTGGAAGGGATTAACTTTTTGTAATGTAAGCAGTAAAGATTAAAAGAAAGGAAACTATTAGTGGAATTAGCAAGTTTGCTTCCTGATGTAGGCTGCTCTAGAGCTTGTTTTAGTAAGAAAAGGAATTTCTAAAATTAAGCTATTGATTTGTTAAGTTCAAGGGGTGTAACAGCTCATCAAAAGCTTACCTTTACTTTGCACCAGGCCAGAGCAGGGTGCCTAGGTGACCTAACCACAGCATATGCTGTTCACTAGTATCTCTCTGGAAATCATTCCCAAATCTGAAGCTGAGAAGGATGTTTTTTTTTTTATCTACATTCTCACTCTGCACCCATCTCATTTCAAGCAGATATTTCAGAGAATGTATTTTCATCCATCCACATGTGGAGTTTCAGCATTTTGAGGGCTTCAACAGAGCTGGTTGTTAACAGTAGAAAACTAATTTCTGCTGTTCAAACTCTGAAAAAAAAAAATTTTCTTGTATAGTAGACAAAGTAAAGAGGAAGCCGCCACTGATAAACCTGGGAAGGCTGTAAAGTTCTTCTTTACCTAACAGAACTGTCCTTGACACAGGTTAGGAAAGCAACTCTAAGCAATGGATAATGAACGACAGAGCAATGAAATCCATCTCCTTTAGAGCTCAGTATTGTCAGTTCTAGAATCAAAAGTAGGTATATCCTAGAATCATTTCTATTCAAGCTGACACCTTTCTCCCAGCTGCTGTGGCACCAAGGCATTCTGCTCATCTGGGATGCTCTGGAGGAGAAGCATTGATCAACTCGGACAGCACGTCTCGAAGAGGCTTGTCATGCAAGCGAGATGTTAGCCTGTCTTCACTGTCTTAAAGAACACTGCTTGAAAATGGTTGCTGGATATTTATCAACATTACTGGAAAAAAATATGCTAAGTCTTTAAATTAAACCAGTGAAAGAGGCAACCTATATATTCTGTGTGCACTACAGCAGCTGAGTAAGATACAACATTAGCAATATTATTTTTGCACAGCAGTGCCAAAAGCTCTAGCAGCAGTGCCAACAGCTCAACAGCATCTCTGAGTTAGTGGCCAATGAGATACCGATTTTAAGTCACACTTATAGGGAGAGTGTGCTAACCTTTTGACAAATATATACTGCAGTATGATGTGGAAAGCGACTTTTTGCATCTCTGTTGCTTCTTTAAATCTGCTAGCTTGACTGATTCTGTTTGGGGAGGTGACATAGATGCTGTATGAATCTTTTAACCTGGAAGATGGAAATGCCAGTTCGACTGATGCTGAGGACTGGGATGGAGTACGATTCCTCTCCTTTGAGATAATCTCTTTTTGGGGGCAGAAGTCCCAGATGTCACTGCCATTCAAGAAAACCTTTTCTTGAGAAAAACACAAGGAATATCCAGCAAGGTCAGTGAACAATCTGGCCTCTGTCAAGCTCCAGGATTATCCAGGGTAGCGTGTGTATCCTTCCCATCTGCCATTCCAGACTCTTAAGTGAAGCTCACTGTAAATATGCTCTGTATTTTGAAATGTAATTGAAAAAGCATTAAGCTAAATTCATGGCAACCTTTTGAACATCAAAGCCCCATCAAAGCACTAAAACTCAGTGAGTTTTAAGCTACAGAAAATAGACCACTCTTTGCATATATTCACGTGTTAAAGCTCCTCCATTTCTATGACTAGAAGTAAAAGACTGAGGGAGACACAGTACGGGACAATTTTATGCAAATGTATAAAAGCCATTTAATATAGTACAGTCTTAAATAGAAATGATACACCTGTTTTTAATTAGAGAATCATTCTTCTGACATTTTTGTTATTGTGACACCCACAGCATATCAAACTGATAAAATGGTCTTTGCCCCAAAGAGCTCTCAATCACATAACTGCCAAATTTCTTGCCACTAATCACTGCCAAAAGCAGACCAAAAAGTACTACTTTTATAGAACTGTTTACATGAAAACAATATTGGCATAAGTAGACTGTGCTGACTTAGGTTGAATTTGGCTCATTCACTTCAGTCAAACAGCACAGGACAGAGAAATTGCATCAAGTACAGCTCTTTTAAGCACCCTCAAAGGGTACTCAAAAATGCCATGAGGAAGCAGGCTGCATGTGTTCCTCACTTCTCTCCTCTGCCAGACCTTAGTGTTATTTTAATAGGTAGCTTTCCCTTTGGAACATCTTATGTCATACTACTGAGTTCAGAATTCTCTGAAATATTCCTCTTTTTTGATACATTTTTGCTTACAGCTGTCAATATACAGGCTGCAGAACTCATGGTCAGAGAATTTTGTGGTTTTGGATTGCCTCTGTCATCGTAACTATGAATGACGTTACATTTAGAAAGCAAAATCAGAGCAATACCAATGTAGCTATTGGTAGTTTTGCACATTATTCTGAAACCACAGTATCTTATTAATACTGCTCTTTGTAAAAGCACCTCTGACCAAAAATGTCATCTTACAGGACTCCAAGAAAGAAAAATAAGAGTTAATGTGCTTCTTGGGCTCTTAGAAGGGGAATTATTTCATAGGTCAAGAGTCATCTGTGTATGAGCAATTTTACTGATGCAAGGGTAAAGTTTTGTTTTAATTCCATATAATTAACTCATCAAAAGTACACATGCAAGCAAGCTGACTCAATTTTTACAGGATTAAACAATATTCTCCCATAGCCTTGCTAAATCCTGAATCTTCAGAAAGCTGTGTTGTACTAACCAGTGCAGCTTGCTTTGAGCACTGCATGTCTTACACTTTGGCATATTTGAAAAACTACTAAGAACCAGGCAGTTTGAATTTCACAAGACAGAATTTGCCTTTCCTTGCTTTCTGCCATGAGTATATATATTTCTAACAAACAACTCGTCACTATTGTGCAACTGGAGGAAGAAAGTCAAGTAACTAAGCAATTAATCCAGTGACAATTTACCTAAAAAATTGCAGGTTGCACATATCCTGGCAGTTTCTGTGCCTAGAAACAGATCTTGAAGGCAGAAGCTGAGAAGACTGATTGTTCCATAACACTCTTTTTAAATTTATGTTTTACTCCAACACTACTTTTTTACCAAAATAGTGAGTGCTAGCCCAAGTGCAGTTAGAGAAACAGGACCACTGAAATTAGGGGCAAGATCTTTATGCCCTTTGGTTATAAGCAGTATCTTCTTCTCTGCCTTTAGAGTTCTGCCTTTAGATTGTTTCAGAGCATGAAGGTGGCAGGATCTAGCCCTGGTTAACAAATTCAAGGTCACAGGGTAAGTCATTGTGCCAGTCCTGGATAAGAGCAGTTGACTTGACACTTCCTCTAATGCAAGATCTTTTTTCTTCCCAGTGAAAAAAGGAGAGCTCACAAATTAATTCCAAAGACTGCGACCGCAGTGTTGTGTCTTCCTACAGTAATCGCTTTGCCTCTTCTACTCCTCTGAAGTTATTAGCAATGTCTATAAAGCAGAAGTAGGAAGACCCCTTTAATATCACAGCCACCTCTGCTCTGGATGATGTGGGCATGTTTTTCCATGCAGCAAGTCCTTTTTTACTCCCCCTTCTGTTTTCATTGCATAATCATGGCGAGCTTTCTCCACATCCAGCCTCCAGATCTGTACAGAATATATAGAGAACATAGCTGGTTGCCTAGCTAACACCTCCTGAATAAATGCGACTGAGGATCACAAACATTTATCTCTGAAATTGATTATAGAAAGAAATGGCTGGTGCTCTTCAAACTTTCTGTAAGATCTTTGCCAGGCCCATCCTCTCATCCCAGGTCCAGGAGCCATCCCGAGCCCATCACCAAGGGGATGTCAGTGTGGGGTATTGCCAGAGGGATGTCGGTTTGGGCTTTGTCGCTGGGGCAGCCCCAAGCAGGGCTGCTGGGGCAGTGCCCTGCTCCTGCTGGGCTCTGCGGGCTCAAGCGGGCACCCTCCGGGGCTGCTCCGGGCTGCGTGGAGCCACCGCACCCAGCGATCGCCCCCCGCTTCGGGTGGGTGCCTCAGGAGAAGTCCTCCAGCGACGTCCCGCTGAGAACACCCCTTCCGTTCCCTCCGCTTGGCAGAGGAGCATCCTCACGCGGGGGAAGCAGGGGTCCCTTACGTGGGAGGACCACGGGTCCCCAGCCGGCAGGAGCCGGGGACACGGCATCGGAGCCCGCGGTGCCCTCTCCCCGCCGAGCGCGCTCCCCCTCGGGGCAGCCCTCGCCGCTAAGCCCGCGGAGCGGCTCTGCCTTACCTGATGCACCTGTGCTGCTGGGTGCACAGCAGGACCAAAGCGGGGAAAAGCCAGGTGAGAAATTCCATCTTAGCGCCGGTCGTTAGGCAGCGGAGCACGGCACCCAGCTCCCCCGGCTGTCCGTCGGCACCCCGCTGCTCTCCCGGCGGCTCGGCAGCCCGGGCAGCGCTGCCATCCTCCCTTAAGTTGCTGCCGGCTCCGTCCCGCCGGGGGCAGCCAGGCTCTTCTCGCAGCCTGCCGCCCCAAAACGGCCCCCGAGCTCCCCGGGCTGGTCCTGAGGCGAAGTGGCCCCCCTGAGGCGTCCTGCGCGGCCGGGCGGGCGGCAGGAAAATGGAGGGAGGGCGGCAGCGCGGCCCCACCACCTCAGCCACCTCAGCTCGCAGCCACCTCAGGCGGCGGGCAGGGGGCTTGGCGCCGCCTTTTACACCCTCACACGCGCCCCAACGCCGCCCCCGGGGGGCTCGGAGGGGCTCCCCGCTTCCACCGAGCTCGCAAAGTTGTGCCCGGCCGTCTGCCGTCGCTGAGGGGCCCGAGGCAGGCAGCGGGAGTGGGCGCAGGGAAGTTGGGCGCCGGGGCAGGCTGGCTTTTCTCCTCCGTGTCCGCGCCTTCCTCTTCTCTCCTCCTCCTCCTCCTCCTCCTCCTCTTCTGCCTTTTGCTGCCGCTCAATCCACAACGGCAATTTTAGAAGCAGCCCACGAAGGGAGCGCCGCGGAGGAGACATTTTAAAGAAATTGTAAAGGAAAAGTGGATGTGCAGATACTTAAAGGATATGCCTGGGGTAAAGTGCTTTATCTTTTCCTGTGCTCGATTTTATCCTTACTAATTAGTACCAATATTTTAAATGGCAACAAAGGGCTGATGGATGAGGGGAGTAAGAGAGTGCATTCAGGAGAATAAATGTGCAGATTGAATGAGGGAGATTAAATGTACAGATCTGCACACAGGCTGTGTGCAGATGTAGTCAATACATGCACAAAAGTACACACACACATACAGAAGTATATGTCATAAATGTCTAAGACTGAAGTGGGCTTTCATTTTCTTTCCGATCTCTTCCTTTCTCTGCACATTCCAGTGGTCGTGCCTGCACCTAGTGCGTGCTAAGGAAGAAAAGACCTGAATTTAGTCATTGGGTTGTTAGATGAAAACTGGTGGTGGTGGAGGAGGGAAACCACAAGATCTTTAATGGAATTTACAGGATGATACAGAGAACAGAATGGTTTTGCCTCTATAATAGAGCAGATTTACGCCTTTCAGGATATTTCCAGTTGACATTTTTCCAACTCAAGGATGGCTTTCCAATGAGCCTGTACCTACTCTGAGAATTCCTTGGTACTGCTTTTCAGCTGTCATCTCGTTCACTAGTAAAATATGAACACAGATTTCTATACCTTTAGGATACAACTGTTAAAATAGCAAAAAAATAAGTGAAGGCAATTTGAACATTTAGAATGAGCGTTGGTATATGTATGGTATGTAGCCAAGCATGTGAATATGTGTATTTAAGACCATGGCAGCATATGCTCTAAAGGGATGGACCTTGCTAAGAATTTGACCATTGAAACAAGTGAAAATACAATGGGGATTCTCTAAACTGATTATTACCAAAATAATCGTATTTCCACACCAAATACACTTTCCTTACTGATTGACTTTGATTCCATTAAAAAGTTCTCTGATGTCAGTGGTTCTGATACTGGGGGAAAAAAAGAAGAATATCGTGTACATATTTTCTCTGAAATAATTAAGCGAGGTCTTTTTCTTACTTCTTCACCTACCATTTTGCTCCTTTTTCAGCAGCTCCGTAGCCAAAACTGGTAAGTAACTGCCCACAAAATCTTCAATGGAATTGTGATAGGAATGTGTTTGTGTTCAGGAGTGTAATAACTTACAATAATCGAGGTATATTATCAGGGTTCTGATTATCCCAGGAAAAATTAACTATCCCATTCATATCACTGGGCATTGCATACGGATATTTATCCATTTGCTGTAATCGTCTTGAATGATCAAGGTCCTATACTACAAATTTGGATTATTAATGACAGCATGAATGAGAGGAATATAAGTGGGGAGTCTTCCAGCATCACCATGATAGTGCCTGGGCTTAACAGGATGATGTGTTATTTTCACAAGACTGATTTAGCTGCCACTTTGTGTCCATATTTCAGAAAAAGAGATGTTCTAAGATTCATTTGCACAAAATCCTAAAATAAATGTGTAACTTCTCTCAAATAAGTAAACTACATTTGATGTAAACGGGCCTTAATTATATCATCTGTATTATATAGAAGAAGGACAAATGCTAGGTCACTCAGCCTTGGGTTTAATTGATTTTGCCTACAAATACATACTTAAGCAAAATATGCCATTTTCATATATATGTGTAAATATATATATATATACAACCCACTCAAAATAAGTAATTCCTCTTCGCCAAAGGGAAGAGAGGGGATAAAATAATAATGATCAACAATATATTTAATTTCCTACAATTCTAGCAGAATATCCCAAATTCTTTACAGTCAATGACAGATTAAAATTGCTCGAGAGATTAAAAAACAATTAAAATTGCTATATAAACATCAAAACAAAAACAAAATAAATAAGCTCCCCAGATCTTTCTCATCTAGTCCTCTTGAAGCTTTCCTTTAGCTACTGGCTTGTAACTGTCCAACAGTCTTAAAAAGATGGCCCATGATAGCACATTTTTCTTAAGCTTTTGTGTCATTCTACTAAATTGCTAACTCTCCTCCATCCATATGGCTGCAGGCACTAAGTTTTATTAAAGTATTTGTGTGGTCTGACCTTGCATATGGAGTTCAGACAGACAATAGGACTGCACGGTGGTCCAACAAAGCCAGGTTTTCGCTTCAGAATCTGACAATTTGGAGCTGCCTTCCACATTTGCTGTTGTACTCACGGAGAACCAGCAGAGCAGTGTGGCAGTGTGGCAGTGCCCAACGTGATACCCAAGTCAGTGTATCTATCCCATCGGACCATGTCAGTCTATGAAAAGTTGGTGGACTCCTCCCACGTCTGCACAATTTTGCAAGTAAATATAATTTAAGCCATTATTATTTATTAAATGTTATTTTTGCTATGTTAATAATAAGCATTTTTACAGTATTTACATTTTCTCAAGTAGTAAGCGAAGATCACAACTTTGAAATAATATTTTGCTATAATTGAAAATTAGAAGCCCACGTTTCAAAAGCTGTCAAGTTTGGTTTTTTTTGTTCCTGAACATGTAATGTGTGCGACTCCTTCCTGACTATAGTGCTCAATTCTTTTGTAACTGCTGCTGTAAAATAATTTATTGGAGAGCATAATTTGGTGGTATTCAGAAGAAATATGCTCAGTGCTAAATAACAAGTTTTCATAGTCCTTTATACCTCACAACTTCGGGAGCATATCAAAAGAACATTATTTGAATTAATTTTACAGTTGCACTGCATTACCTGATATTCTTAATAGATCATTTTCTAAAAGGGACAGGTGGTTTTGCAGCCAGCAAAGTAAAGATGTCATATTGCCATATATAATTTTTAGAGGCAAAAAAATGTACCACATGGATAATTAGTTTCATTCTCCCACGATTCCACATAAACAGCTCGTGAAAGACTGTTGTGGCAACGTCGCCAAATGTCTCTAGATATATAAATTACACACATATGCCTATTTTTATAAATGAGATTTGGAAATAACGGTAGCAATCATATGGTGGAAATATTTAGCTTATTTCAGAGGTTGTACAAAAATGATTCTTTGTGCTGTATCAATGTCCCATGGCCCCAGCACAACTGTGTCTGTATTTAAATATAAGTATAACCACAATATTATTGTTCCTTTCACCTAAAGTCCAGGATCAGAAACGGAGTTTTTAACTGCTTCCAAATGTTCTGCAGAACATCCAGTTCCTTCCCAAGTCTGTTTATATTTTTTTAACACTCATGAAGTGCAATGTGGCCACTTGGCCCTCCTCTTCTCTTCTCTGTGCAGAAGACCTGGGACAACATTCCCCACTCTGCCCCAAGCCAGGGCTAGCTCCAGGACTGGAGATGGTTCCCTCACTGCAGCTGTGCTGCTCGCAGTGCTGTGCTCTCATCCGGCGGCATCTGGCTGTCCTGCTGTGGGGTGCACTGACAGCTGTGCCCCACTCAGTCTTCCTCATAACATCTGTAGCAATGACTCATTGGTAAGGTGCTTGTCAATGTTTTGGCATTGTTTACACTCAAATGTTGATCTGTATCATAGAATATGGGCAGAGAAATTGGTTTATGTAATCTGATGAGAGCCACACTGCAAAAATTAAGATGCCATTATTGGCATGTCTTCATGCCTAAATGCTAGAAATCTCCATATATGAGCTGCTGTCACCTTGGAAACGTTCAGAAAAGAAATACCAACTGCCTGAAGAAGCACAGTATGTAGCCATATAGGAAACCGAACTGTCCAGTTCTACCATTTCAAATTGATCATGAGTTGCTACTAAAGTAACTTCACTGAAATGCCACTAAATTTAATTTCACAGGGAGAGAACAGCAGGATCTTCATTTATACATGCTCACTTTTGTACCCAAATTCTCAGAGGTGTATCACTGGTGGTCAGTGCCTACAGGATCTAGAACAGCAGCATCACTGATGCCTTTTTTTGTAAATCTCCGGGAGCTGAAAGCTGGAACAGATTCACTGATTTCAAGTTGATAAACTGTGATTTGGGAGATACGAGCTTGTCTGGGGAGGCATCATTTAGCACCTTCAGAGGAAGTGCAAATATCTCCTCTCTTCTTGCATCTATGTGTGAGAGGAAAATCTAGACTACCTTGCCCTGGTGACAATTATTCACCCGACATAAAATCACAACCGGCAGCGTGGCTAGGAGATGGCGCAGTCAGATATAACAGGTAGCGTGCCCTGAAATGACCAGTGCTGATGGGAAGGGGACTGTTGTAAAACTTAATAATAATCTTTCACATACTAATTATGAGAGTGTGAGAACAGGCAGGCTTAGAGTTAACAACAGAATCTATTCTAGATCTGCAGAGACATCTATACAGTTAATCACTGAATATTTTTAGCCTACATCTTGTAGCTTTAATCCTGCAAATGTCTGGAGGTAACTTGTTTTATGTAATAGGAATAGATGCCATAAAATCAGCAGTTCATTGTATTTTGTGTAAAGAGGTAAGAATGTCCACACATTGCTAAAGAATGAGGACCTATAGCACAACTGTAGGAAAGGAATTGGTGGCTGTGATACGTACTGTACATGTTAAATATGTAAATTAAATACTTAAGATTAGCAGCATGTGCTTTCATGTTTAATATAAAAAAAAATGACCTTACTTCTCTTAGCAAGTATAGGAAAACAAAGAAATATTGCCTACAATGGAGTAACATTTTCAATATACCCTAAGTAAATCTGGGAATGCCTCATGTACAGAGCAGTGTTTATTCCAACGTAGAGCATTGCTCAAGGAATGATGTCCCAGTGTTTCAATAATTTAATCACTCTGAAACTTTGATCAGCTGCACTTCCATAGCATGCCTAGTGCCAAGAGTAATGGGACAAGATTCTGCTTTTCTGTGAATTTAATGGCATAATTCTTTGACTTTGTCCAGATAATATGTGGAATAGAATAGGAAGGAAAGTTAACTAGTTAACACTCGAAAACTAAAATCTGGCAACTGAGTGCCTGGTAGCAAGAACGCAGCTTCAGATGGTTCCTCTGAGGGAGTATTCCAACTGGGGCACATTTTATGAATAGAGGCATTTAGCTTTACTATGCAAATTACTCAAATATCATCTAAATACTTTTCCACTGTGTGTTTTTGTGCATTCATGTAACGGGGTGTTGCAAGTGTCCTCCAGGTCGTCAGTTTCTTCTGAAGCGAGGGGAAGCGTTGAGAGTGGGAGATTATGATGGGCTGAACGATCACTACGCGTGATTTTTGCTGTAATAACCTTCAATTAGAACTAACGGTGAAACCCTATTGTCCGACTAGGACACGCTTATTCCCGAAAAGACCGAAAACTCGGACGCCGGGGACCCGTCGCCTTCCAGGACCCAACTCCCTCAGGCGCCGTCCCTCCCAGCTGCCACCACCCGCCCAGACACGCACCACTCCGCGAGGTTGGTGGGGGTCACGGGGCGAGCACCGCCGGACGGCTCCAGCGGCTGCAGGGGGGGGCTCCAAGGGGGCGCCCCCGCGACGCGCCCCCGCTGTGGTTTGCTCCGTTGCCGGGGCAACGCATCCAACGGGCGCGCAGAGTGGCGGCTCTGAGGGGACGCTGTGAGTGGATGTGGCGGGGCTGTGAGGGGAGGCGAGGACCCGGGACCAAGAAAGTGTTCAAGGACGCTAAGGATAGCTGTTTTTTGAGCCATTCCCTATGAATTTTAGGTCAACTGGTTGCCTAAGTGGAGAAAGTGTGTTTGGAAGGTGTGTTTTATTACTCAACTGCTTGTTATATAGATATATATAAATGCTTTGGCAGTGTGCTCTATAAGTGATTTGTTGAAGTTAGTACCCAAAATGTGTGTCTAGTAGAAAGCCGTGTGATGGTTTCCAGTTATTTTGTGTGAATTAAGTACTTACTAAATGCTATTAATTCATCTGGAAATGTAGTCATCACTATTGTGAGTTCTTGGAGATATTTGTGTATGTAAATATGGACTCTTCTCTTTGTTAGCCTGGTTTTTAAAGAACCATGAATATTGAAGATAGCAAGTTCAGTGATAATAATGAAGAGGACCAAAAAACTCCTTTACCATTTCTGGAAGAGGAAGAAGACCAGGCTGGTCAGTGCTCTGATGTGAAAGAATGCTGGAGAGGTGAAAATGAGAAATCATATTGTTAATATACAAAAAGCCTCAGTTCTAGGAGTGACACAATATTCCAAATAAACGCAATTGTTCCAGTAGTCTTTTTTTTTTTTTTTTCTACTATTATACTGCATCAGGTGTAACTAGTTCAAATCTAACCTTTTTTTTTTTTTTTTTTTTCCAGTAGTATTAAATTTTCACCTTAACTCTGAAAGGCATTTTTTGTTCAGAGTAATTGGTGGCAAAAATCAGTATTTGTATGGGTTTGATTCAGCCATGAATACATTAGGATCTAGGGCCACTTGGGGTGCTCTAGACATCTAGCATAGTGATGGCATAGGTCTTCCACTGATCCAACTCTGTGAAGTGGCTGGGTGGACTCAGATATCTAAGCTGACAACAGCTGCCTGTCAATAGGCAACTGATTTCTCTAATTGTGTCCAAAAGTATGTTTATGGATGTTATGTCAAGCAACGTATCTACCATTTTATGGGTTATCATGTGTGGTATAGAGCTGGATACAGATTTTTATGTTAAGAAAATGTTCTTAGGCTGTTCTTTTTTCCCCCTGTCCTTTTATTGACTACATAAATATTTAACAGTATATAAATAATACTTATTAAATAAAGCTTAATAAATACTTCTATCTTCAATGCAGATCAGAATAATGAGACGTGTAGCAGGGTGTTAATGTAAGATAAGCATAGCAGACTTGGCATTCTCTTGCTTTGGTTTTGAGGTGTACAGTAGCAGTCCTGTGTGGTTTTGTTTTGTGTTTTCTTTTTTTTTTTTTTTGACATATACTACAGTAATGCTATAATACGTCATCCCTGGATCTCTACATATTTTGACTTGGCAGCAAGTAGACGAGAGCTTTGCATTTTGAAGCTTAAAGTCTCTTTATTAAACTGTTGTTTTATTTTCTATTAGAATACCAGCTTGAAGAAGAGTTGGCTGATGGTGGTAAGATGTGGAACAAGGTCACTTCTGAAGGAGCTGGAGACAAGTCTGAATCTAGCATGTAAATAATTCATTGTTTTGTTAGCAGCTCTAACAACAGCTTCCTTTATAGTGGTAATTTACCTTTTCCATAGAAGGTTTGGTTAATTCAGCTGTATTTTTTTGTCAAATTAGTCATAGGCAATATGCATTTATCTAACACAGTGGTTGCACTATGTTCATGTAGCTTAATCAGCTGCCCTTAAAGGAGCAGTTATTAGCCTGGGTGGTTTTATACCAAGCAATTTACACTTGTAAAACCCAGCCAGTTCTCTGTAATAATATGCTATGTTCGTATCCCTATAGAACATTAGGAGTTGTTAGAAAAAGAGAATTTTGTCTTATGAAGAATATCAGTGTTGGATTGTAAGTTTCTGAATACATAGGGAGTTTTGCACCACTGTGTAAAGTGGATTAGCGTAGAACTGGTGAGATGATAGGTTGGTTTTAAAGAAAGTGATAGAGCAGTTGTATTCCTGGTGAAATAAATTTACATGTAACAAAGGTCACGTATGAAAAATAATTCAGTGATTTGAATGTGGCCTTAAGTAGCTTCTGCTTTTTTGACAAAGAAAGATCAAAGCACAGTTTGGCCTACTTTGACAAGACTGTTGATCTCTGCCCTGGAGTGACCTGGCACAGGGTTATAGAGCATGATGAAAAACTGAAATAATGTTTATTAATATATGTATGTGGGAAGTTGCATAGCACATATGCCTACTGCCAGTACATGTTGACAGTGTTGCCGTACTCAATAGAGGAAGTCAAAATATGCCATGATTTTTAAAAATAAACAAACATCAACAAAACAAATAAACAACAACAAAAACCCACTACCTTCAGCCCTTTTCTTTCTGGATGTTTAAGTAGACCAAAATGGTAAGATTACCTCACTTGCAGACTGAAGCATTCTGTACAATGTTCTGAACTAATTTAGAATGTTCCCTTTAAAGTTTAAAACTACCGTTCAGGAAAACTGGAATTTGAAAACCTTAGGTATAATCAAGAGGAGCTACAGGCATTTAAAAACAAAGACGTGCAATTAATGCATTAAATGTGTGAGTAAACATTCAACATTAGATACTTAAGTCTGGCTTAAGTGCATGTACTCAAGCTTTTTGTACTGATTACCTTCATTTTTTTTCTTATTATATTGATTATATTTGTATCAGTTTGCTAGAATGAGTAAAACTGAAATAAAGAACCCATGAATGCATAAATGGATGATGCACAAACTTCACATACCTTTTAAACTTGTCATGTTTTCATTATTCATCATGTCTTTCAATTCAAAGAGAACACTGTTGGAGTGACGTTAATGATATTGGGGCTATGAAGTATGCAGATAGAATTTCCATAGTAGCCTTATACAGGAACCTAAAACAGCTCAACAACATAGCCAAAGAAAAGGAACTTGTGGTCACAAAAATCAGGTTAGTGTTGAAGCAAACATAAGACATCAGCATAAATGTGCCATCAAATGCTGGGTTACTTTACCTGTTTTGCATATGGTTATAGTAATAATAATTTACTCTTTTCAAAAAAATAAAACATTAATATTGATATTAAAGAAGAGGGGTTTGATCTGGAAGAATTACATGTTAATTCCTCTGCTATGTTCGCACAATTCTGTGGGTTCAACAGTCAGAAACAATAAATGGAAAAATCATTGTAAACATTTTCTTAACTGTGATGGAAATGTTGCATTGGAATTGGTGAAGTTACTCACCTACTTTAAAATAAGCACCTGCTATGAGTGTTTTGCTGTGTACAGGTCAAAAAACTTTCATTGGCAGCAAATGTATCTGAAGAAGGCTAGTGTAAAAGTGCTGTTTATGCTGTTGTCTTTTTTGGTAATATAGATGAAGTTAGATTAAACTCTTGTTACTCTTCTGGATTTTTAGAGAAAGTAATTGAAATTAAAAGGGGCTTCTAAAGAACCTCATAAGATCTAAACATGGGATGGTAGTGGGGAGTTGGGGGAGTTGAAGGAATCCCAGCTGTGATTCTTGACCTTCAAAAAGAAGAGTTTAATGGGACAGAGCAGAGAACTTGGAAAATGTAAACAATCTGTTTATTTGTTTCAGAGACGAGCTGACTACCTGCCAGCTGCGGATCAAAATGCTAGAAAAGCAGCTGGAGTACGTAGACGTTGAAATACAAAAAGAGAAGGAGGCTGGCAATGTGTAGGTAGACAATATTTCTGGATGCCAAAGACTACAGGCATCCGCTGTCTTTATCGGTGTGTAATTAATGAGCTAGTTTCCTTTTTTCACCGTGTCATGTTGTTGAAAACCTGATAGAATATTTAAGCACGTACAGTTGAGATGTTGATTGGTCAGCGACAAACCCCTGAAGTGTTGCATCTTGTGCTGAGAATGGCAATAGCTTAGAAGGCTGTTGTGATACAAGCTCTGTTGTGTATGTTCAGCCAGCCAGCAGAGCAGTGCGTTCACTCCCAGCTTGGTGAACGCTAATACTGCAGTCGCCTTCCAGGTGACTTGGTGTTTTCAGCAATAGCTCCTCCTTCTGAAATAAATAGTGGTGCATTAGTTGGGAATCATCAGTCTCTATCCTTTCAGCTCTAGAGGTAATATTTGGTTAGTTAAATCAGAGTGCCGTAAGAGGTGGGGATTTACAAATGGATAGGGAAGAGGTATGTGTTTTGAAGTGGAATCTAGCAACAACTGGTTATTAGATCAGCCTTATTCATTAATCTCAGTTACGTTTATCAGTCTCTCAATCAATTCTGTTCAGTATAGTCAACCAATACCAGTGTGCTATGTCACTTTGAGAGGTCATGGTTTTTCTTCTGATAGCTATTCCAACCAGGGTTTATATGTATGCTATTTTAAAAATTGTTTTATGTTGTGAAATGCACAAATGCCTTTCAGGAGTGGTTCTGCATGCAGGAGTTGTTCTAAAACACTTTTGCTAGGAAGTAGGAGGCAATTTACTGTACTCCTCACATTTGGCTTAAATAGAAAGAAGTGGGTGGCTTGTGTACCGGGAGCCAGTGTATTGTGAACAAACTTTGCAGCTGCATTTTCTGACCTGTGTTATTCTTAAAGTTAGTGTATCAATGAATGACAGAATAAATAAAGGTAGGTTAATTGCCAAAATGGAATAGTTGATTAAACAAAAATAATGAGTTGAGTGCTAGTGAGACTTCTGTGGTGGGTGCTAGTACTCCCCGTTCAGGGTCTCTCAGACACTCTTAATAAGGAAGACCAACAAGAAAGACTGAAAAGCATTGTATGAGATTTCTATACTTATGACAGGTCAAATTGTGAGGACTAGATATGCAGGAAAATACCACTTTTTGCATTCTATTTTATTTACCAAATTAATAGTGAAGGAAGAAGACCTTGTAAGTTTCTGGCTTCTGTGAAGCTCAAATGCATCCTCTTTTAATGCTAATGAAAAATACTAGCTGCCATTAGCGTTACTGACACCTAGTACAAACGTGTGAAGTTGGAGTAGTAACTACAGGTGGAAGATCCATTTCCAGTTTTTATTTTTGGGATGGAGTTTGTTAATATAGTCAGCTCAGTGCCTGTGGATACTGTACTCTCTGTGCACTAATTTTCCTGTGTAGAAAAGCCCAAGGGAGATAAGTGTGTTGCTATACTGCAATTGTAGCCAAAGTATAGGGAGGATTATATTGCCATTTTAAAGGTGAAAGCAGTCATGGTTCTCTAGGTTTGCCTAAACTTAATAATGGTACTTCTTTTATTAGTTTAAGAAATCAGTTAAGAATTAGTTTAGTTGCTTTAATCTACTAGTCAGTGCTTTTTAAAGAAATACTTTTCTGTAAATTTCAACTGATGTGTAATAGTTTAAAGAAAGCTATGTCTTTGAAGGAACAATGGACACTTATACAAAGTCTCTTACTTTGCTTTCTAAATTAGTGGAATTCTAATACATAAATGTCAACTTCAAGCCATTATTTATTGTTGCTGATTTCGCTGGGGGAGGGGGGGGTTCTTTCTTTAATATTCATTAGTTCCATTTTCTTTCTCATTGTTTCTTTTTTTAATGTACCAGTGCAGCCCTGTTCCGCCTACGGGCAGTGCACAGGCGACTGTGCACTGAACTGGAGGATGAGAAGGATTTTGAGTTGAAAATTGCTTTGACGCTGAAAGAAAACATGTAAGTGAGGGAATGAGAAAACAGTGTGATGGGAGTCAATCTTTATTATGCTCTTCATATGGTGTTTAGAGAGAAACTCATGAATCCATTAGAAATTGTTTGTAAATACTAGCTTATGTGATTTGAGGTCATGAGGTTCACTGTAAAGCCTTTTAGCCTAAACTGTTTCATTGCTTAGGAAATGGATTTCTGTGGCCCATGTCCTGAGTTTGTTTTTCACACATAAAGTATTTATTTATCTATTCACAAATTGTGGCTCTAAACAAGTCCCAGTTTAACTGGAAAATAAAATGGATTAAAGGAGACCAACTTCTGAGGAAGCATAAATACTTCTAATCTATGCTTCTTACTGGTTCTCAAAGAACATAAAGGAAAAGGTAGAAATTGAGAATGATGGAAATGATGTAGTACTTTGTATCTTTATGCTAAGTTGATATTGCTACTTGCAACTGATTGCTCATACATGCTACGTTATTCATTTATATGAGACTTAGTAAAACTGTCTTCCACAGAAGGTAACAGGCAAGTGTGTTTGTATTTTTGCACTAGAGGTACAACTACTGATGCAACTACATTGGAGAAGATCATAAGTGTGAGCTTATAGGCACATTTAACCAAGTGATTAACAAGACTACAGTACATTCTGCTGCAATGTTGCATAATAGCTTTAAAATGCTTGACTATTTATTGTGAGATTAGTGATAACTATATTAATCTGTTTATATGTATGTGTCATATAAATTCCTGCAAAGCATGGAAGAATAAAAACTTACAACTTGTCCTTGAAGCTATTTCCTCTTGAAAAGGGTGGGGGAGAGAGAGGAGGGGAGCTGTTTCTCTGTTTTTTGTTGTTGTTGTTGTTGTTGTTGTTTGTTTGTTTGTTTTTGTTTTGTTTTGTTTATGTTTTCTGGGTAAATGTGAATGTAAAAGACAGAAGAAGCTTGAACTTTTTTTTTTTTGACCAACGTTTTTGATGTCTTTAAAACTAGATATGCTGTTACATGTGAGCCTTAGTCTGAAAGGTGAAATTCCCATGTAAGTAACAGTATGGTTTAAAACATAAAAAATGGATAGATTGTCATGGTCACCAGAGAGCCTTAGCTACTCAGTAACCTCAAGTAAGTGAAAGAATGCCAATATTTTGGTGCAAACAGATCACACTTTGTTTTAAAGGCTTGAGATGTGGCGGATAGAAACTGAGCAGGGAAAATATGAAGCCCTCCATAAACAACTTCAAAAAGATGAGGAGGAGCTAGAGACTCAATACCAAGAAAAAGCAGAAGCACGGATTCATAAGGAAAAAATAGCAGCACTGCAAGCAGAAGAAAATCAGCTGTCAAGAAAAAAGTAAGCGCCTACCAGTCAGACTCTGCTTCCTTTCTCTCTTTTACTTTTAGCTAGTTTGTTATTTTAGGAGTTGAAAAGATTAGTTAATGGAAGTAATAGTGGTATTGTGTTTCTGAGCCAGGTGTTGGCTCTGAAATATTGTTACAAGCAGAAAGAATTAACATAAGAATTGCTCACAGTCTTATAGTTACACAGGTAAAGATTTCTGACATAATCAACTTACTAAAGAAAAAAAAGAATGACTTTTGACTAAGGAAACCAAATTTATTAGACCAGACTAACTGCATATGTCTGAATTATTGTTGGATGCTGGAACCTTCTACATTTGGGATCAAGTTCATTGAAGCTTGCAGAGAAAATGGACACCAGTTTAGCAATTTGTATGGTTTCTGAAAATTAGACTGTACAGAGGGGAGAAAACAGGCTGACCCCATTTAAATACATATTGATAGACTCTTCAACATTAAATATCATGATGATGGGATAAAGGTTTCCTTAATCCTGTTGGTTTGCCTGTCTTTTGTAGAAAAGAAGAAGAAGCCCAGAAGGAATGTGAAGAAAGGCATAAAAAAATGCTTGAAGTAGCCAAAAAGAACCGTGAAAAAGCAGTCTCTTTCCTGAGAAAAAGCATGGCAAGGTAATCATTAACTCCTCCTCTCCCCTTCCCTCCATCACTGTTCTTTCTCTGATGTACAACTGTCTACCCTATAGTCTTTGAGAAGTCAAAATTTTTCAGCTAGACGTGTCCTCTATGTTACGCTTGGGAAGTTTCTTCCCAGCGCTGGCACGGTGGCAGCCCTCAAATCTTACATGGCACAAAAGGGTGTTTTTGATGAGATGCAGGGGCTTCTGACCACGTGTAGGCATTACAAATTATTTGAAAAACTTTTATATGTGTATGGGTTATTAACTGTAACAGAATCCCAGGTTTGAAACTTTGCCAGGTGTGAAAGCATTCTGTCTTTCTATTATTACCTCAGAAATGTGGTAACATAGCTGTCTTGCTGTCTGGCAAAATAGATTCATAGGGCATTTCTCTGTGTTCCTATTCTCTTATGGAGGATGGCAAATTAAATGTTTCCTTCATAGGTTTGTGTTTATATAATCACTATGATATTAAATTATTTTGCATCTAAATAAACTGTAAGCATTTGTTACTTTAACTTGTATATTAGGACTTAATTGAAAAAGTGATTGAAATAATTGTGCTGTTTTTATGGTAGTTTATTTTTCTTTAAATGACATGTACAAACTCACAGTAATTAAGATAAACAAACTGAACCAAATCAGTTGATCTTTTTTTGCTGAATAATGTATCAAATATATACATGTTAGTAATTATTTTCTAGTTTACCATTAAATTAACTTGACTTGATTCATGCTAACATATTTCTAGGTCTTACAGTTTCTAGGGTTTATTTTTAGCACAGCTACAAATGGTTGGCTTGTATAAAGTTCAATATGTAATTGTTTAGATGTCGATTATATGAGCAACACCTGTTTTCTAGACATATATCATAATGTGAAACGCATTCTTCGTATTCAAAATTTGAGTTGTTGAGCAAAATGGTTGAAAGCCTGTTGGCACTTTTAATTTGAGTGATACTGTATATAGAAGATTCAACTGTTCCACTTTACCCACACCCAGTATCATAGTAAACACAGAGACTTACAGAGAGTATGTTTGGTGGTGATATACACAATTACTATCTGTCAGGTTAAACATTCTAATACTAAAATCTTCCCAGGATTTGAGCCTGAAAGATTTTACTCTGCTTACAGAATTCATGAGGAGAATGCAAAGGAAGAAGTGAAAACTCAGGAGCATATGGAGAGAAGGATACAAGCTGTGCTCTCCCTGAAAAACAGCATAACTTCCAATAGGGTACTGCTGCTGTGACTTAGATGGGGAATGAGGAAATTAACTTGTTAGACTGTGAGGTTTTAGTGAAAGTAATTCAGTTTTCACTGCAGAGTTGTTATGTGATGATGCCATATCGTAGACCAAATCTCTTTTTAAACAGGAGAATTTAACTATAGGAGTAATGATGTTAGTATGGGCAGTATTAGTATTTTGACACTTCTACTTACAGAGTTTATTCTGTGAACAATCTAGCTGCTGTGGTAGGGTAACTTTATTGAAAATAATGCATACTACAGATAATTCTCTAAACTTGTCCAGAAGTGTGCCCAGTTATTTAGATCCCCAAAGAAATACTTCATATGGAGAAAACAAATGGAAGAAAAACAGTTACTTAAGAATTTAAATAATGTAAATTAAGAATTTTAGAGCTAAGCTACCTCCCTCACATGTTTGTGTTCTGTAGAATCTGAGGGAGTGATCTTAATTTAATGCTGATCTGACAGGAGCTGTAAGGGTAAAAATGTAGCCCTGACCTAGTCAGAGCTTTCTGCATCTCCAGCATATGCGCACTACTGACAGCTTACTTGACTATTGTGTAGATCAAAAACAGTAAGTTCTATTTCAGAGAAAGCTACCACAAATTTCTACTTGGAAAAAGGGACCAAATTCTGTTTGATTTTCTTCAATATGTGAATCAAATATGTAACTGTGGTTTATTTGGCTTCATAGGAAAAACTTCAAGCACTCCAGGCTTGGAACAAAGCAATGGCCCTTGAGGCTAAGAAAGAGGAGTTGAAAATGAAGGAGGCCACCTTAGCAGAAGGAGGCAATGTTGCCAAGGAAATTTTTCTCCATAAACGACTGTTACAGCATGAAAGAGAGAAACAGTAAGTATTCATTCTGATACCGCTCTCCCAGTTGCTTACTGATGCTCGTGCAGAAACGCATTGGATCTCTTAATCAGATTCTGAAAACATGACACATATAGTACTGTCTCAAGAGAGAACTCATTCTTGTACTCTGCATGTGTGATATTTGTGTAGCCTGTTTTAAGCAACTTGAAATTTGAGCTTATGTATTATTCAGAGAACCAAAGTTTGGAGCCTGTGTTCTGATTACTGCAAAGGAGATAAACTACCCCAGGAGGGCAATTCAGTGAATCTAAACTGGATGCTTGAAATAACTGTGCTTCTGTGTTTCCTGAACACTGTCCATATAAACACTGAGTGGCTTTCTTAGGCTTTTGCAGACCAGCTTTGCACTGCAGTAAGGTCAGAAACGATGTACTCTCCTTCCTGCTTTTTTGGTTGAAATTGCTCCTCTGCCTTTTAGCACAATTGACAGGAATGTGCCTGTATCTCCTCTACTCTAGTGCAAACCTTAATAATTTCATTAACTCCATATGAAGATGAATTTGAGCTAAGGTACTAAACAGAGACTAAATAAGGCTTCAGTTTTGATAGCAAAAGTGGTATTATATGCATTCTAAAAATCCTTTGTATAAAACAAGTGGATCAGTTTGTACAGATCTGCAGGAAATATTTAACTCTTCTTAACTTTAATTTTTTGTTTCTTTTCACTTTGCTTGGTTTTTCCCTTTTACTGTTTCCCTTTGCAGGCACAGGGGAGACAAGGTTGTAAGTCTTAATGTTAGCTGTGTTATATGAAGAGGTGAAAGTCTGTATTAGAAGGGATCTTTAGCATCCATAATATCTGTTGCAGAAAATTGTGTGTTAAGCTGCTGGTATTAAAACAGATTAAATGATCTGCCAAGTGTGTCATGGAAGTATAGTCATACACAGCATTGAATTTCTGTCTTCCAAGTTCAGTATGTATGGCCTTACCTTTTACCCTTCTTTCTCTCTTTATTAAATCCACTGGATTTCAGATAGGCAATTTTCTTTAAACTGCTAATTAAGTTTGGAAAACTATTTATTTTTTTTTTTTTCAGTAACGATGACTGATATGTTTGAGAACTCCTCAACTTTTAAAATGCTCTAATTTAATGTTATTAGTAAATAACCATGGTTGGTTTAATGTTTCTTAAAATATTTTATTACAGAGCTTTTAGAGAACAGCAAAAGTCAAGAAAAATTGAGATTGTATCTCGAATTTTACAAGAGAAAGCATCTATTCGTAAGCAAAAAAATCGTCAGTCATGTACTAAGGCAAGTAAGAGTGGTGGTAAACTTATGGATTCTTTACTGTGGAGAAGGAAGATGTGGCACTATATTGAGAAGACCTGCGGACATCCAGCTGGAGCAATGTCACAGGTAAGCAAAGGTCTAAGAATAACCATCTTTTTAGTGTTTTGTTTTGTTTTGTTTTTGTTTTGTTTTTGTTTTGGTCAGAAAGATAGGTGAGGTTTTCTTCTGCCTCTGAATAGCATAGGCTACAACCAAATACCAGACAGTAAAGTGCAAGTGGAGTGTAATTTCTCCCATTAGATCTCTTGATGGTTGGTAATCTCTCTTTTCTAGTATTTTTATGACATAAGCTTCCTGTTTGCTTTTTGCTTTTGTTCTAATTGATTTGTACAATATTAGAGGAAGTACAGGCCTGGAAAGAAACGGTGGAATGAATTGAATCCCCTGATGAAACTAGTGGTCTTCAGGTGTGTTTTTAAAAAGGGGGAGAGGGGAGTAGTTGGTGGTGGAAATAGCAAAACAACCAAGTCCTTGGTTATCGTGTTATAGACAAAACAGTCAAAAAAAAAAAATTGCACAGCTGTTATTCTTGTGCCTGAGGTCTAGTTTCTAGCCTCCTATAGATGTTTGCTACTATAAGATTTTGTCTGAGTTGTGTGCTTTAGGAAGGGATTGACTTAAGTTGTCCTCTTCAGCCCTGAAGTTTTATAGACCAGTCACTTTGTATTAAAAGATGCCATAGGAGGCTGTTAAAGTAATTGTCCTCTAATAATTTTTAATGATATCTTCAAAATTTTTCTCTCACAAAAGTTAAGGTGCTCACCAGCTGAGGAACAAGCTCATGGAGAGAGAACTGCTTTTGTAGGAGATGATGTGCTCTGTGAAAGTGTTGAAGATGAGAAAGAGAAGGACAAGACCTTAGTAGAACCAGAGTTCCCTGGACTTTGGAGTCAGGAATATGACTTGCACAAGGTAAAAGTTGTGACATCTTCCCTTAAAAATCAGAAATAAATAGATGTGGATATAGTTAATAGATGTGGATAAGTTAAAGTCTATAAAACTTAGAAATTATTTTTAAGAACATGTTAATGGATTAGAAAACTCTCATTTCCCTCTCTAGTAGTTATACATATCTGAAGTAATGATACTGGTAGCTACTGTTTTATGAACCTTGCTTAAAAATAATTAACCGTTCTTGCAGTTAAAATGCAGTCTTTATTACTTAAATACAGAAATTCGGATGTGAGAATGTTATTAGGATACTTGCTGTTTGACACTATCTTTGTAGTTTTCTCTTAAGGAGAAAACAACACTTAAATTTAATTCAGAGATACGTGAAGACATACATCACATCATATTCACTTGTTTAAGTTTTAAAAGAAAAGAAAAGAGGACATGACTTTCTGTCAAATTGGCAACACAGATTACTTTACGTGGAAACAATCTTTTCTATCCCAAACCAGACAAAGAAAAGTATATTTTCTCCAAACCAACAGTATTCTGTGCTTTAAACAAAAGTAAATAATAAACAGGTAGAGTGGAATTGTGTAGTTACAATCTTAAATGTTATTCCAAGGTATCCTTCCCTATACTGCTTTTTTGAGATGTAGATCTTTAAGAGCAGACTTCAGAATCCATCAGAAAGTAGCAATGTCAGTATGTATCCATGTGCTTCAAATGAAAGAAGCACTGTACCATAACTGAAATGTTCCAGGGAAGTTAGCTGATTCTCTCTGAATGTTTGTTCAGGAAGTGGAGAAAATAACCCATTTGCTGCTATTAAAAGCAGAATGTTCTGGTGTTGGATGAATATAATACAAAACAATTGAAAATAAATTAACTTCTTCATATACAAGTTGGGAAGCTGAGTTTGATCTGGAGAGTAGCAAAGGCTGGCCAGGTACTTAAAGATTCTAATCACAGGAATTTCTACCTTGATCTACTGATTCTATGATCACAGTTACTTCCTTAGGTCACAGTGATTTTTATTGATGCTCCTTATTAGGTATCCAACGAAGACGTGGATACAAAGCAGGTGGCTCTGAGTGTAATGAAAAATGAGATTTTTGAGAAAAAAATGGAAGAATTCCAAACTACGTTTTTTCACAAGCAAATAGTGTCTGGTCATGAACCTAAGGGACGTACTTTCTATAGAAAACCAAGCTACGTTCATTTCAAGGTTAGTGGCCATTCTGCACAGTGTCTAACCCTGCCTACCAGGGATAACTTGGGTAGACAGCTAAGCACCACACAACCACTTGCTCGCTCTGCCCTCCCCCAAGTGAAATAGGGGAAGAGGAGAACTTGTGGATTGAAATAAAAACTGTTTAAGTGAAGTGGAAGAAGAGAAAGAAAATAAGCAATCCCAAGGCAAATGCTCAGTACTCCCCATGTGTAGACTGATGCCCAGCCAGTTCCCAAGTGAAAGGTGGCTAGGCATCTATTGCTGAGCACGATTATATGGTGTGGAATGTCTCTTTGGTTAGTTTGGGTCACCTGTTATGTCCTCTCCCAGCCTCTTGTATTCCCCCCAGTCTATTCACTGCAGGGGCAGGGTGAGAAACAGGAGGCCATGACTCTGTGCAAGTATTGTTGGGCTGTAGCTGAAACGTGAGTGTATTATCAGCATGGTTTTGGTCACAAGTCTAAAACACAGCACCATACCACTTGCTATGAAGAAAAACAAGTCCATCACTGCCAAACCCAGTGCACTGAATTGAACATATGTTTAGTCAAACCTGAAACAGTGCTTGCCTTTTTCTCTAGCAATCTGTCAGGGAAGTTATATAGTCAGATTAACTAAGATACTTAGTTTTAAATACAAAATAGTTCCTTTGTTAAGGAAATTTAAATAATGTTGGAAAGATGAGCAAATGAATGGAGCACAGTCTAATGAGATGTTTCATCCTTTTCAAAGGCAGTACAACTGTTAGCTATGTATTGTTTGTACATGCGTTATTAATATAAGATAATGAAGAAGGCCATGACTTCCACTATGAAGTGAAGATTACAGTTAGCAAGTGATCATAATACTACAACAGTCAGGAAGAATCTGAGTTTATCAGTTTATTCCTGTATTATAAACTGCAAGCTTAAGAAAGTACAGTGTTCTGCCTGGTTTTTCTTCGCACTCGAAAAGGCTGCCAGTGCAGCCAATCAGGCAGTAATTGGAACTGTCAGAGACACGTGCTGCTGGGCAGACAGCCTGCAGGGCTCTGCTTGTCTTGTGGTAGTGAATACCCAGTTACACAACTTTCATGGCAGGAAAATACAGACCAGCTTGGCACATTAGCTGTGCATACACCAAGATAATGTTGCCATGTCTATGAAGTATGAGTTACCAGCTCTATAGGTTGCATCTTTGAATTGGATTTGTTTGGAGCAGGGCAGTGCTTTCTGGGTTCATACAATACTTTGCACTATAAGCATGACTGTGGTAAAACTAGTTGCCTTGGTCATTACATGTGTACGTGCTACTCACTGTAATTCACACCTTGTGTGATATTCCTTTATAATGTGTTATTCCTTTATATAACATACCTTGTGTTTGATATTTCGAGGATTTTGATGTTGGTAAAATCTACAAAAAGAAGATAGTTTTGACAAATGCATCCTACAGTGTTAACTTTTGCAGACTGGTGGGAATCAGTGAATGTCTGAAGGACTTCATCAGCATTCAGTAAGTAAAACTGATTATAAACAAGTTGCTTCTTTTACCTTTGTATCACAACAGGAAATATAACCAAATTCCGTAGCAAATTAAGATAGATAGATCTTCATTAGATACACCTAAATTCCATCCTTGTGTGATGTGGAAAAGAACTGTGTCTCAGAGCTGAGAAGAGACTTACAGTCTGAGCTGTATGTCATTGGCTCCTGTAGTGCTGAGAGGGTGCAATTCCTAATCTGTGGGAGGCAACGTACACCCATGGATACTGCTAGCCCTGAGCAAGTAGAAAGCTTTCTTCAGAAATGTCAGACCTATTGGAAAAAAAAAAAGAAAAGGATCTACTTGTAGGTACAAAGAGGTAAAATACTTCTGCCAGGTACCTAGCAACAAATAACCTACGCATATTTTGAAAATATCCGATATATCTAAGCTTTCATGGTGTCAGCTCTTTATATCTCTTGCACAGTTACAGACATAACATTTGAGAACTTATTTCAGTTGACAGATGCTCTGTTTTCCAATGTAGCAGCAATATTCTAATGCTTAAAGAGCATTATTACATCTCAGTGCAATGGCAATCTATAGCAATTTGTTCTTAGTGTAGTGTGTCTATGTGTGTTTGTATATGTAACCCATGGTGTTTGGCAGCACGTACTCTAAATCAAACTTTTATCAAGGTAACATTTGAAATAGAAGGGGCTATTCCTTCAGGTCTTTCTCAGGAGAAAATGTTAAGTGACCTGTTCTGAAACTCAGCATACAGCAGCTTATTTGCCTGTCTGCTTAGGTTTTACATTTCTTTATTGTGAAAAGTATTCCATTTCTGTTTGAAAACATTTCCTCTTGGTTTTGTTGTTTTTTAGTTCTGTTTTAACACAACCGTGATTAACATATATGTTGTGTTTCATTGTGGCCCAGTTTGCTCAGGTATTCCCATGGCTAGCAACATCCAGTTACCTGTTTTCTCTAGCCTGTTTTCATCAGGCAGAATAGGGCTCTAGTTGTGCCTTAGTAATTTCATTTAGAGTGCAGCTGTGAGACTTCTCGTCTTCTGATGGGCATTTTGTTTGCATCCCAGAGACCATGAAATGAGGCATTGAAGTGACTGGCGGTTGCTATTCAAGATAATTTTGATGCTGCTTGCAGCAGGCAGCACGTTCTCTGATCATCTGCAGCAACCTGCTTTTTTCCTCTTCGTTTCCTTTTTGGATAGTCGGGATGTTAGAGTAGTCAAAATTTATAATGGAAGACTGCTTCCTAGCTGTTTGAATAGGTGATTGCTCCACAGTATTAGTAATAACGTTATTGAGCTACAGCTTCACCAGTTGCCTTGTTTGTAAAGTGACTGCAATAATTCTTTCCTTTTAAAAGCTTTATAAGACTTTCTGAGTAAAACCTCAAAGAATCAGCCTTTGTTGTTTTACGGTTACACTAGAGTTCTGTGGTTTTTCATTAATCTGTCCCTCGTGATGACTTTCTGGAGTAATAAATGAATCCAAGTGGAAAAGTATTATATAAATATTCTTTGTCATGTTTCATATGTAGGTTCAGTTTGGAATTTTATGTTGCTTATCTCCATAGGTTTGAGCCACCTGGCAAAATGTCTCCTGGAATGTCCTGTGAAGTAGGAGTAACCTTTAAGCCAGCAGTAAGTGCACCTAAGTGATAGTTACACAGTGATGAGAATCCTAGTGTAATCCACTAGCCTGATTAACAGTTTAAAAAAATATTTTTATCAGGAAAACAAACTACAATTCTAGAACTGTGTGCATGTTCAAGCACTGTTGCATTGTAATACGACATTTTCTAAGGGTGCATTTTAGAAAAATGCTTATCAAAAGATATTGTCCAGCTCAAATTAGCCAGGCAGTTAACAAAAACTGTCTTGAAGTGCAAATGTAGAATCTGTAGACATGTATTTTAATATGTTAAAGAATGAGTAAAAATATTTTTCATCAGACTTGATCAAATAGACTGAATCTTGCAAATTATTTGGCTGTGTTTTTTGTTTTTGTGTTTTAGACAGATGAAAATCTGGAAGGAGAAGTCATGTTTATGGCCCAGACAGGTTCTTTTTCTGTTCCATTGAAATGTACAGCCAAGACATGCATTGTAAGTGACTGCTTAAATATTTTCAAGTCAGCGTAACTGCAGAAAACTTAAGATAACATAAACATTATTTAAAACATTTAGTAAGAAGTATTTATATTTCTTTTTTTTTTCCTGTTAAATGGATAGTCTCTTCACAGAAAACAATTTCTTAGCTTCCAGTAAGACCTTCCCAGTATTGGGAGCAGGATACTACTAGCAAGTTAACCAAGTTGTCTGTCTGTTTGGTGCTTGAGCTTGAATCGTATGCCTTTTGTTATCACATACCCAGTAACACAGTTGGTGAAAAGTGGGCATGAAGTAGCAGATTACTCTTTATACTGGTTGTAAACCATGAAAGCTCAGAGAAACAAGATAGGCATGGTAAAAACTGATATGTAGTCATTGTATGACATTGAATGCTTGCTTGGCAGCCTGATGCTAGTAAGACCATCTTACTGTAGTACAAGAGAAAAAAAGTTGAACTGTTCTGTAAATATTATCTACATCCAGAGTAGCTACCTGAAGAATGAAGAAAGCTGCTACTATGAACAAAACTTAACCTGTTGTTCCCACTCTCATAGTGGACTGAAATGCAAGTGGCTCAGTTTAACGATACGTTTTTCAAATTAGTTGGCTTCTACAAAAGGACAGAGTGCCCATAGTTTGTCATTATTTGATACTGTTTTTGAAATGATAACAAGAACTTTGAAGTCCTATTCTTGAAAAGGTGGATGCTTATTTAATTGACATGGTTGACTATCTAGGATAGTAGTAATGAATAGTTTATCTTCCTACAGCTGGCACTAGATAAAGTGCTCATTGACTTTGGCACTCATGTGGTGGGAGAGACAATTTCACGGACCATCAACCTGACAAACAATGGCGCTTTGGGAACAAGATTCAAAGTTCAGGCATCAGCAGGTGACAGTAGTACACGCAGAGCAACAGCAAAATCTTCTCCTGGAAATACTGTTCTTAAAACCCAGTTTGAGCTTTCAGGTGAATCTGCATTTCTAGGCATAACAAAGTCCAATACATACATTATCCTCCTGAAGCATTGTTATCCTGCAGTGGGAGGCTTGGTGCCTAATATGGACTTCTGGACTAGAATGAAGTTGTGTGGTTAAATAGAAGTTTCTTTCTAGACATTTCCATTTTCCCTCCTCTGGGCTATGTTCTTAGATTTGTGGCATTGACCAAAATCAATGTATTTATGCTGTTTGATGTTTAGTAAATAGATGCACAATTCCCATATTTATTTTTTTCAGAACAATTTACTCAAGATGCATCAAGTTTCAGATCAGACCTAGACACAGATAATGCACATAATTTAATGGAACCTTCTGAAGAAACACTGCATGAAATTATGCTGGGAAAGGTAGCGAATATCCTGAGTTACAAGATTTTTGGTAATCTAAGCCTCCATCAAAGGGAATTGTCTTGGCTCTAGTGTGAACTGCTTAAGTACACAGTCTATTTCAAGACCAGTATTACAGTTAATTGTTAAAATGAAATAGCATTACATATTGGTCCTTTATTTTGATTTATAAAAAATATTTGAGCTGAAGGAGTTTCCATATACATTTACATTTCCTATAATTTAACTTTTTTTGTAGTCAAACTGATTTTTCTGCACTGTCAGTTCATTGTTATATGAAGTCACAAACTTGAGCCATATTGAAGAATGTGGGTATAAGAGTCCAGATGCTAGCTCTTCCTAGCATTTATAGCTTCTTCCTATCCATAAAAAAGCAGGAGCACTTTACACTGCAATCAGCAGCCCTAGGCAGCTTCTTTATGTATCAGGTACATAATCACCAATATGATGGAAACACTCTGTATGACAGGTAGATTATGTAATTAACCAGAGTTTTGCAGTAAAAAGGAGCTCAGTAAGATTCTGTCCATGCCTGGCTGTGAAACCATGTCATCCCAAGCTTTTCCCCTACAACAAACCTTGTAAGGAGTTACTGGTACATTTTTCCCTTGGGCAGTTTATTCCATCTAGTTACAAATGAGGTGTAGTAGTGTGTTTGTATAGTAAGAGCATAAACTCCTTATTTATTTCATTACAATGTAGAGCTAATGACAGTAAGAGAATTTGAATTTTATTAAAAATGTGTTACTTCCTGTTTAGGTTACTGAAGGGGAAATCAGACCCTTCAGCTCAGTCAAACTTCAGATTATATTTATCCCAGCTATCCCTGGGGCAGTACGGGCAGAGTTTGTGATTGTGTTTGACAACTCAGACTGCAAACCAGTAAGTGAATTTGTGTAAGACTTGCTTCAAAACCCTGCTGAAATCCTACTTCTGCTTCCAATAAGAATTACAAGAGCTCAGCTTCTATATTAGAACCAGGAGAAGCAGGTAGAGGACAGATACGTTTATAGATGTAAGAAATAACAATGAGGGCGCTTAGAATTACAGTTCTGTCAGAGCTGATGGTAGGTAACTATAAATCACGTCCCCTTTTTTTCTGATGTGCTGTGGTTGTCAAACCTGTTGAGTCTCTCAAATTTCTATGCAAGTCATCCCAATATTCCCATTTCATCAGGCATCTGGAAAATATCTAGTGTCCTGGATATAGAACTGAATGTATTTTCCTTTATTCCCAACCCACACAGTTTATTTTCTTTCTGATACATCAGCATTGGAATTATCTAGCATGCAGTAGTGAAACTGATGTGTGAAGGCTGGGACAGATGACAACTTTAGTTAACTGCTTTAGCATATTTTAATTCTGCATTTTAGTGAAAGCCAAATTCTGCCTGGGAACAGTTCACAGAAGCTTGCCAAAAAAAAAAAAACACCACCTTCCAAGAAGCTCAGTAGGCCAGTCTTGGCTCTCCCCTTGGTCTACAGATGGAGTAGTCTACAAAAGGAGCTGCAGAGGCATACTGCAGCTTCCTGTGGGTACCCTTTCTTTCAGCCCTGGCAGGGAAGGGTCGTTTTTCTCCATGTTTGAGCTATGTGGTTGCTGAGGTTTGTGGTGATTCCGCTTGAGTGGGCAGCTGAGCTCCACCACAACCGCTCTCTCACTCCCCCTCCTCAAAGAGGAATGGGGAGAAAATATGATGAAAAGGGCTCAAAGGTTGAGATAAGGACAAGAAGATCACGCAGTAATTATTGTAACGGGCAAAACAGACTCTGCATAGGGAGACAGTAAGATTTATTGCTTATTACTAACAAGCTAGAGAAGTGAGAAACAAAAGAAAGAAACCAAAAGCACCTTACCCCCCCCATCCACCCTCTTCCACCTCCTCCCTCCGAGTGGCGCAGGGGAATGGGGGAATGGGGGTTATGGTCAGTCTACAGCACTTCTTCTCTGCTGCTCCTTCTCGGTCACTCTCGTCCCCTGTGCTGTGGGGTCCCTCCCACAGGATGCAGTCCTTGCTGAACTGATCCGGCGTGGGCTTCCCACAGGCAGCAGCTTTTCAAAAACTGCTCCAGATATGGGTCCGTACCACAGGGTCCATCCCTTAGGAGAAAACTGCTCCAACCTGGGTCCCCCACGGGCAGCAGCTCTTGCCAGGTCACCTGCTCCTGCGTGGTCTCTTCTTCATGGGCTACAGGTCCAGCCTGGGTCTTCCACAGGTGGCAGCCTCCGTTGGTACAGGGCCACCTGCTCCACCATGGTCTCCTCCACAAGCTGCAGCGTGGAACCCTGCTCCACCGTGGTACTCCATGGGCTGCAGCGGGACAGCCTGCTTCACCATGGGCCTCACCACAGGCCACAGGGGACTTCTGCTTTGGCACCTGGAGCACATCTCCCCCTCCTTCTTCACTGACCTTGGTACCTGCAAGGCTCTTCCTCACTCCTCTCACTCTCCCAGCTGCTGTGTGGCGCAGCGTTTTTTTTCCCTGTCTTAAATATGCTCTCACAGAGGCGCAAAACAACATCGCGTATTGGCTTGGCTCTGGTCAGCAGTGGGGCCCTTACCAAACATGGGGCAGCTTCTATATCCTTCTCACAGAAACCACCCCTATGGCCTCCTGCTACCAAACCTTGCCATGTAAACCCACTACAAGGTTAAACTTAAGATCTTTATAGGAAACATAGTACTACAGCCATTATTGTATTTCTTTGCTGGATAAAATAGCAGCAGTCTCTTGAATTTCTGAATTGTAGCGCATTCACTTAACACTTTAAATATTTCTTCTCAATATCTTGGGCGGCATGTTCTTCCTTTACATTTTCTGGCAAAGAATCCAAATGGAAGTGTAATTAATTGTTGTTCTGTGGCACAGTGATATCTAAGTTTTATTTTGTGAATTATTTCCATCAGTTTGTCTAATTAATGTACCTTTAATACATATTTTAGTCAGGTGTAGTTTAATTTTAGTCAGGTGTAGTTTATAGCAAAAATTCTTGCTCTATCTAGATCAGTAACAAATGGAGACTGATAAAAATAAATACACTCTTGATCTGTGTATTAACAGCTGTGCTTTAGTGCCATTGGAGTTTCTATTGATGTGCCAGTTTGGGTGCCCAATCCCAACATTGATTTTAAGATCTGTATGTATGACCGACTTTACCAGGACTGCGTTGTCATTCAAAGCAGGTAAGCTGCCTTCTCCAGCTAATGAATGACATCTTACATCACTAGGTGATGCACTGGGCTTCCACTGTGTCAGACACATCTGCTTCTCACAGGAGGCTGATGAGCAGGTTTGTTTGTGTGTTGTTTTTTTTTTGTTTGTTTGTTTGTTTTTTTCTTGGCCTTTCAGGAGGACATCCTGACTACAAGCCCTCTGAATACTACACTGCTGGGGAAGTTGAAATTGGGTAACCTGTGTTAGATCCCCAGGATCAGCAGTAGCTGTGAAGTACCTGGGTTAATTCATGCCTTCCCACTCCTGTAAGGTCCCCTGTGCTGTGCCTGGTCTGTGATGTAATCGTTAAGTCCCTAGGGAATAGCAACCCCACTGAGTTTCATCATGTGCACTTGCACATGAAATATGCAATAAAGATAAATGTGTCTAAAGTTAAGTGCACAGTGGGTATAATTGATTCAGCCAATGAATTTTATGAAGAATTTTTATTGTTCTTATTTTTTTAATTTCTCAGTTTTTCTATGTTTAATTAACATCGATGGGAGACTTAAGAACTAGAAGGCAACCTTCTGTCAACTGTTGCTTATTGAGAAGGTCAATCACCAGTCTTTCCAGACTTGGGATATGATGCTGGATAAATCATGTCAGTCCTTTTGCATTTCCTTTAAGATAGGAAAGGTGCAACTTTTCCTAACCCATACAGGTATTAAGGACTTATTATATGTATTTCCATAGCTTGGATCAGTAACGTCTGAAGACTCCTTCTGTTTGCACAGTAACGGATAATGTTTCAGCTCATCGTCTCCCAGGCATTTCTTGCTGTAATGCTCTGTTATGTGAACTCTTACTCTGTTAATTGTCTTCAGGTGCTGGGTGTCTTCACTCTAACTAATGCAGTCACTATGAAATGCTTACTGTTCCTGTTTTACCAATCTGCATATTTTAGGCTCTTTTTAAACAAGGTTGGGGTGGGTTTGTGGGAGGGTGGGGGAGAGGTTGGTTCTGTAGAAGGCATCCATTCTAAACCTCTTACCAGAATTGCAGACTGCAGAGATTCTTCACAGTTGGAAAGAAATGAGTAAAGCTGTTATCTCAGAAATTCAGCCTACAGATATGAGAAGCACAAGTTATGTAAGGGATTTTACTTGGTCTAGATAACCCAGGGATAAAACTTAAAAGTATAGAAGCAAAATAACTATCCTAATGAAAACTTAAGATTTCAAAGGGGTCCCAAAGATAGAAGCTGTCAAAATGATGATTAGGTCAAAATTTCTTAACTGAAAGAAAAATCAGCCTACTGATCCTCTCTTAACTTGTGGTAAATTAAGAGCACTTAATAGGTAACGTGCTGCCCTTAGTACCTTGGCAAATCAAGTCTTTGATTTATCCCACTCTTCTCTCTAACTAGATGGGGAGAGAAACAAACCTAAAAGAGAGATGATTCTTTAGCTTTTAGGGTAAAATCTGACCCAGACTTGAGGGAGATGATGTGTTAGAACATCCTTTTATTCACCACCAGTACACAGAAACATCTAACAGAAGCAGAACAGAAGGAACTTCTGTACCTGGCTGTATCATAGCACTGCTGCTGCAATTTATGATACTGTAGTCTGTAGCGCAGGTAGAAGATCAGGTTTTCAAGGTAGGTAAATAGTTTTGTTACTTGAAGTGGTCCAGCAAGCTCTGTAGAATTACAAAACTTTTTTTGTTTTTTCTTTCTGGTCTCATAGAGTACAGTAATCGGGAAGCATTATGCAGCATAAAGGGTGTCTCACCTGAATGCTCTCCAATATAAATCACTTTGAAAAGTAATTTAATTGGAGGTTATAACATGCACTGATGTAAAGAACTAGCATATAGCTCTCTTAGACTGTCAGCAGCCAGAAATCATTCCAGGCTCCCAGTACCTCACGCTGTGGTTGTTGATTCAGAGCAGGCCATCTGGACTGACAGCTTGTAAACCAGTCCAAGAGAAGGAAAATGAGAAGTGAAATATTTGTAAATTGCTTGGCAATTCTGCACATAGGCATAAAATTCCAAAGCAGGGTATGGCTCGTGGCTGTCACCCTATTGTAGTATGGCCAGAATTCAGTAAACTGGGAGATGCTTCCTAAGCTTCCAATATGCCATTCGTAGGGCAGATTGATCACAAGTAGTGTACCAGAGGAAGTGGTAGCAACAATTTAGCCACAATAGGACTTCTAGCCCTATAGAATCTGCTTCTGGAGGTATAGGAGACATTATAAGAAATCTGTGAATTCACACCTATTAAGAAGTCACCACAGTTTTGGGGAGAAGAACACAGCAGTTCTGTCGGTACGTCTCCTGACATAAGAAACACCCCCTAGCACAGCTGAATTTGTGTAATTTTCCCTACCTGTACAGACTTAATTATCTATGGTGAAAGTTTTGAGATGATGTGGATGAATGGAATTCACAAACTGGGTCCTTGTTGATGGTTTAGGTATGTCATGGCCTTTCAGGTTCATTCTTTTGATTCTTTTGACTGTGTAGTGGGACGTTGGTCAGTGTTGGTTAGCAGCTTACGCAGCGTTTAGTCATTTTTGTCCCTACACAGCGGTTGCTGGTCTTCATTTTTCTGTTTCTCAGAGTATCATTGCTTGAAATACAGCTGGGTTTACTTACAGTAATTCCAAAATCTTGTTTGCTATACTTAACATAAAAGACGACAAGTGTGTGATTTTGCTGTAGCAGTTTTACACGCCCTTCATTTTCAAAGGAAGCTTGGAATAGTTATAATTGTAATGTAGAGCAGAGATGCAAGAGGGGGAGAGGGAACCAAGCTCCAGCATTGCCAAGATAGCAGTACCAGTAGCTTCGAAGCCACCTGAGCATGTCTGATCTGCTTGCAGAGCAAAAGCTACACTGCGTCTGAAGTTTGAAGTCTGCAAAGAATTGAGTAAGCATATGGAACTGCTTCCGAAAACAGGTTACATTCAGGCTCAGTCATCCTTCACTGTGCAACTGAAGTTTTTGCCCAGGTAACCTAACAACTTTGGTGTTTTTGGCCTTTAAGATAATGTCTGTAGGAGGCTGTCTGTGCAAAATCTGAGCAAATAAAGTATTTTTTCTTCCTTCGCATCTAATGACTGTAGCAGGCTGGACTTCACATTGCTGGTGTCAACGCGCTCCTCTTCTACCTCCTCTCCCTTTAAAAGATGCCAGATGCTCATGGAGGAAATTAACTTGGATCACTTACCTGTGAGGAAATGCTTTTCCTATGGCGATGACAGCAGTGTGAAAATCTAGCAGTTGCGTTCTTGGTAGAATGTTTCCATTTCTGTGGCGAAGCTAATCTTACACAAAAGAGAAGTTTTCAAGGCAGGTGGCTACTTCACGGATCAGTGATTAAATCATTTCTGGATAAGCACTCCTGCCTTGCTAGGTAGAGTAGGAATGGTTGGACTTATGTCACCTCTGTATATTTTCTCTGAAATATGAATGTATTGATCTTGAATTTCATTTGGCAATTTATATAACATCTTCAAAGATGCTAAAAGCATTTTCTCAGCAAGTTTTTCTTTTCTGTTTCACAAAACATCTACATATACAAACATAACTCAGTTATAGAAACAATGAATTCCAGTTCTAAAAATGTAAATACAGTATCTCTTATTCACCATTGTCAATTATATTTACCGTTCCATTGTCATCCTAAAGAATTTAGCAGGACATTTCTCTACAAATATAAATTAAATGATAAATATTCTGGTGTACAGCCAAAATACTTCAGTGGCTTCTGCAGTGATTGCTGCTGCTAACCTTGCTGCTTTTTTCATAGAGGTTATTACTGGTGTGTGTTTGGATTTTCACTGATGTGCTCAGCATCTCTGGAAATGAGGCCCAATTGTAAACTGAGAGTCTAAGCACAGACATCAAAGTTCTCAGCCAGGTTAGCATTCAAGGAACTAGAAGTATTTACAATTCTTTCAACATATCAAATCCTATCAGATTACAACAGTAACCATTACGGCGACATTCTTCTGTTCCTACGCTTCAGAAGCTGTAAAGCACAGCTATACTTACTGAGTGGATAGAAGCATAGCTTAGATTTAGAATATTAATCTGCCTTTTGAAAAACGAGGAAGTTTCAGAAGGGAGATTTGATGAGATTAAGGCCACAAAGTAAGTATCTGACTGTTTCACTATATAGATCATTTTAAAAGGCCTAACACACCAGAAAGTATGCGTATGGCAGAGAAAGATGAGCTTGCTCCAAGCTGATGTAAAGTACTGAGCTAGTGACACATTTCTGCAAATGCCTCCTCATTGACTTAAGCTCCGTTTTCTCAGAAGAAAGAGCAATTGTATTAAAAGCAACACAAAAGTAAGAAGTACTTATTCAGCAAGCCCAAGAGAACAGACAGATGACTGAAGGCCCAGGAAGCTCTCCCAAGTATTCTGTGCATGCTGAAATGCTTGGTCAGATGTTACAATACTACTAATATAACTATCTGGGTGCTTGAAGCAAAGACATATTTTCTGCTTATTTGAAGGCAAGTTCTCTAATCTGCTGACTTTCAGCATTCCCAAATACTGCATCTTTTACTTTTCTGTATTTGGAAGTAGTCCTGCAGATGCTGACAGTCTAAATCTGATTGGTCTCTTATTCTTTTCTTTAATTGCTTTAAAGCATGAAGATGCCATTTTCAGTGAGCTATCTGAAGGATTTCAGTACCTCTTCCCTAAGGCATAGCAGCTAATTTAGAACCCATTGCTGCGTATGTACGGTTACAATTATATTTTTCCCTCTGGAATATTTCATTACACATGAATTTCTTCTGCTATTCTGATGTCCTGTGACAAAAGGAAGCTGATACTTTATTCCTACTTTATATTTAATTCCGTTTTTTATTTTCACACAAGTTAGCAATCCATTTGAAGATTACCTTCTAAAGTCACATTTCAGACTTGCAAAACAAAAGCCAGCAAGATCTCAGATCAGCATGATGATTGTGAGTGGGTGGTGCTATTTATTCCTTAACATTTCTTTAATAATATATTAAAAAACCTGCACACAATTCCAATAGTAGTAGTAGGAATATTATCTCTGTGGAGACCTAAAAACAGGAAGCAATTCACTCTGATTCTGTAAGACACCAGAAATAGACCAGCAGAGCTAAAAATGCTGGAGCTTTTGTAGTGTCCTGGCTTGAAGCTCTGAAATTGAGCTTATGATAGCAAGATGCTTCAGCAAAAGAGAACTCGCATATTTCTTATAAATGACTAATCTGGTATATAATCAGACACTATTAGTCTCCAAGTTTGTTTCACTTTATTTATGTCGCGGTGCTTTGTGATCCAACCGGTACTGCCTCAATTGGCTGGTAATTAACCAACATTAGTGTCAGAAGGAAACAATTGCCTAGGTCAGGTTGGTTATGTGCTGTGACTGCAGCAAAGATGCAGAAGGCTAATGCTCTGCTTGTGAAGTAAGCTTTAATTTTTTCAGAATTTTAAATGACTGTTTGGATTATGTTTTTAGAAGAGCATAAATGGGTGCAGTCTTTTGTGACTTGCAGTGACTCCCTTAAAATCCCGTGCTTCCAAAATTCCATCTTTTAAAAAAATTACACGATTGATATATAACTTCATCGCTAGATACCCTTGTAATCCATGCACACCTGCTCAGAGCAGATTGTCTGGATGTATGCCATTCTATACGAAATCTGTGACAAGTCCATAATATTTCTGATATGACTGTGTTTCTTTTCTTTTTTTGGGGGGAAGACAGAAGATAGAACTTCATAGGTCACTTTAAGGTCTCGATCGGAATTTTCTTTTACCATTTTCCCTAATACTTGTTTGTGTAGGGCATACAAACTTTTAGCTAGTCTTGACATTATTGAAGCATCAGAGTTGGTACTTAACCAAAAGAAGAAAACTTGTAGACCTTAAGTAACAGAGTTTTTTTTTTCAGTTGGTTCAGAAATGCACCTATCAAGAGTTTATTATTCCCCTTAGCTAGAAAATAGCCAAAATACTTCTGAGATGTTTTTTTGTTTGTTTACTTCAGGCACTCTCTTCCTCGAGATGCAGGGAGCTATTTTAATGAAGAGACGAGTGTTCTGGAAGTTCCAGTGACAATTCTGATTGCAGATAAGGTTAGGAATTTCATTTCTTATGCCGGTTATTCAACTGACAATAGATGTAAATCTGTTATTGTAGTTAATGTTCACTTAATGATACCTAATCTTACTTTACTAATTGAAGTCCTATGATGATAGTAAAAGGTGCTTGCAATGATAATACAGATCTGATGATATTTTTTTCTTGTCAGCATGTTTAGAATACAGAAAGCTTGATTTTTTCTAGCTAGCAGTCATTTATTCCCTAGTACCTTCTTCTGTAACAGAGAGGTCTCAGATACCACAGCACAATTTCTTTATTCCTTTCTGTACTGCAGATGTAGCATATTCTTTGAGTTTGTTTCCTGGAGATGCAGGTGTGATTCCATCCTAACATACGGAATTTCAGTATGAACCACTACCGCATGGTGGTTGTTTTTGTTCGTTTGTTTTTGCAAATTGATTATTTTTGAAGAACAATGAGGCTGAAGTTCAAGATAGATATGTTACATTTGTAACTGTCAAGGAATATAGTAGAACAGCTTTTTTGTAGTACCTTTTTCAATGATGTTTCAATTAAATCCTGTTCTCGCAATGCTACAGATATTTATTCATTGCTCTTCCATTTGTCTCAGACTAAACAAGTCAATTTTACTGTCCATGCAATTGTTACTACTTCTGAATTGGAAATCAGTCCAGCAGAAATCGATTTTGGATACTGCACAATCTATGAAGCTGTGCAGACAAATGTCACACTAACAAACAAGTCCATCTTGCCACAGGAGTTTGGATTTGTGGGACTTCCAGAGGTAGGCGGTTATCCCAAACACACCTCTTCTTGTATTAAAATATAGTTAATTATTATGAAATGTTTCAATGAAAGTGTAAATAAATCAAGACTGGTTCTGATAAACTAGTGGAAATATTTCTGCTAGCGGTGCAGGGGAAACATGCAGATAAGTTCTGTTACTGATATATGGAAATTTCACTTTGATATACCATAAACATTTTCCAAGCAGTATAAATTTCTTCAACAAGACTTTACTGGCCTTACTTACATAAGATTAATAATTTTATCCTGTTAGAATGCCCTTTTCTTCCACCAAGAAATTTACTAACAGAGTATCTGGTGTCTTTTTTGCGCAGTTTATGTCCAAATGTTTAAACTCTTTGCCCTCAAAGCAGAATGGCTGTGTCCAAACTGCTTATTAGGAATCATCCCCTGAACCATGCTTAAGCATTTCCCAAGTGACTGTAAGTTGATGAGAAAGCTAAATTAACCACAGAAGCTGGTAGTTTCCTGAGGGCTTGGTCTACTGGATTACCATTATTATTATTACCATTATTATTATTATCATTATTATTATTAGAAAAAAAATAAGAGTTGTTCAAGCTTCATAATGGCATGATGACCACAGTACAAAATAGTTCGGTATGCTGGAATTAGAGCTAGAAGGAGCCTGACATTTAATTATGCATTCTCCCTTACTCTGCTATTTTAGGGATTAAAATCAAGTAGTTAAGTGAATGAAGTTAGAATCTTTGAAAAGCTTTAAAAAGTAAAGCATTAAAGCTTTATTTTGAAGGATGTGTTTTCATGATTAAACTGTAATGGTAAGACATTCCTGAATCATTACCAACTAATATAAACACAGAACAATGTACATTTGTAGATATTATACTGGTACTTGTCACCATGATATCTGCACATCATACAAGCATCAGCTCTTCAAAGATACAGGGGAGCAGTTGAGATCTTTATCATATTTCGTTCAGTTCTCTATGAATAGTAAGTAAACACCATTTGAGAAAGGTGATTACCATAGACAGTAGGAAGCCGGCGAAGAGGTTCTAGTGAAGTATGAGTTAATAAATTTAAATTTCAGCCTTTCAGTTTACTCTAAGATTAGAAATTGGCAAATAATAGTCACTAACTCCCATGAAAGCTTCTCACTAGTAGAGTGCTGTTTTCCTGACATTTGTACATTTAATAACAAAGTTTTCTTATCTTGACAATATTTTCTTGTTAGTCTTATTTTATTAGTACGTTTAATTTAATCAAATTAATTCAATTTAATAATATAATGTTATTTGATAATTTATTATTCTAATAACAGTAATTTCATATTTTGCCATTTTGAAGTTTGTTGAAATTCAACCAAATGACGGCTTCGGTGTTCTTCTTCCCCTTGAAAGCCTGACACTGGACATAATCTTTAAAGCCAACAAGGCAAAAGAGTATGGCTTTGAGCTGACCTGCAAGTCAGAGAGTAATAGGTATGTGAAGAAACTGGTCGAGTAATAGGTAATGTAGAAGTCTAAATCACGCTTAATTTCTACTGTTAAGATAAGTCTGTCCAGAAGTGAAATCTTTGCCTGCTAAGAAAAGGTAAGGCTAAGATAAAGCTATGAGGTAGGTGCAAATTCTTCAGTTGGTAAGAGTTGCTCATTTTAATGTTATTTTTTTCTGTTAATTTTATCCTTCATTTGTCTTCTGCTAGCTTTCCCCAAGCTTTCTAAACCTGCAATGTTCTGCTTGCTTTTTTTCAGCAGAACTCCCAAAGAATTTTGTTTGAAATTACTTGTGTGTATGTGTGAGAGAGACGGAAAATGCTTCATACATAAAGCTCATGCTACTAAAATAATGATGACAAAAACTTAATGATTTGACCGGGTGTATTTCTAGAAGTTCATAGAGGAAGAATTCAAGTAAGGACTAGCCAATTGTGTATTAAAAATAGTATTATTGTTCATCTTTCGGCAAAATTCCCATTGCAGGCTTGAGAAATTCAGCTTAAATAGGGACTACAGGATCAGTTCCCTGTTTTCCGGGCTGATGAAGAGACTATTTTATGCTGAGACAATTTATCATGTGTTTATTTTTAGACGATTCAAGCTGTCATGCAGAGCAGTTGGAGTCCACCCACCTCTTGAATTGTCTCATTCCTTAGTTCAGTTTGCTGCAACAGCTCTAAATGATGTGTCTACAGCAACACTGTATGTGATGAATTCCCATGTGAGTGTCAACCACTTTACTCATGCTGTCCCAAGAATTGACAGTGGGGAAATTGCCCATGTTGGACCCACTTCATTTGAATTCCATGTGCCAGAAGACTGTCCTGTGACAGTCACGCCTTCTGTTGGAACTGTATTGCCTGGGAAGGTAAATTCACTTTAAATGTCAAGTGTTCAAACAAGTCTTTTGATCATTCACATCTCTACAAATTCTGTCACTTGTATATGAAGCTGAAAACAGAAATTATTATTAGCATAGCTGGAAGACTTTGTATTGCTTGAAATAATTTTAAATTAGACTTGAGTGGTTAACCATCAAATGTAGTTAATGATCGATGCGAGCTGTCACTCTGAATGTTCTTTCCCCAGTATTATCATGATTTATTTGAAGAAATTTCAGATATCAAAAAATACTGGTCATGTAAAACAAGCCCACTCTAATGTAGTGGACTTGCAAAAAAAAAAAAAAAAAAAAAAAAAAAAAAAAGCTGTAAGTGAACTTTGTCTTTAGGTTCATTTAACTGGGGAAAAAAATACTAGTTTTTGCTGTCACATATATGCTCCTATTGAGCTTTGTAGGTATAATACATGTATGAGGGATGAATTCTGCCTATCATTCTTGTGCATGCTTTCACACTCCCAGAAAAGCTTGATTCAAGTGTCCTTCAGACCAACATTGTCAGATCAGCTAATCAGAGAAGAGGCAGCTCAGAGGCTTGGCAGAGCAGCTGCAACAGGGGCAGAAATACAAGTAAGGAATGCTAAGAACTAGCACGTGCTCTTGGTCTATTACTTCCAGATATTTCTCTAGATGTATTTTTATCATTACACTATTTGCATATTAAATGAAGCCCAAACTTATCATTAATGTAAGACCTGTCTATACAAGAGTGTGCATGTGCTACTGCTCTTACTGCTTGGTGAACAGACCACACGTCAATTTTATTTCATTATAACATTTTCAAAAGCATTTGTAGAGGATTTTTTTTTGAAAATGTTAAGTGCAAGTATTCCTCTAAAAAGAAAAAAAAATTTACTCCACTTCTTACAGATTGACTGCATACATGGACTTCATATGTAATGCTGTGGGTCAGTTAACTTATGTGAGCGCCTATGGTTTTATTTGTGTGGTTAAATAGGTAAAATTCCAGTGAGCTGTACAGTATTTTTACTTTTCTGCTCCAATAGGGGAACTCTTTTTCAAGATGGGGTAAAATAGGTCCATTTTAATGTAACATTATAGAGCTGTTTGTGATAACTACTGTGTCTATGGCTTGTTACTATTATCCATACACTGTACCGTGTTGCCTCTTCGGTTCTGTATCCTTGGGCCATGGACTGAGTATTTGTAAACAGATGTCAATTGCATTATCTGTGATCAGTCTCAGTGTATAATTTTAGTGTATATTTGCAGAAAAAGAAAGATGAAAAGAGAGAGGGAAAGAAATTAAACGTTCCCATTACCAGACAGCATTCTTCTAGACAGTTTCTAAGGGACGGAAGCAGCAAATACCTGAGTTCTTCAAGTAGTTCTGAGCAACCAGAATCCAAAGAGATAAAGCCTGAGTAAGTCAGCAAAAGCATCTTCTACTAATTAGACAACATTCTTTTTATGAATGCTTAATAAATCTACTAAAACCTATAGGTAGACAAGAAACCAAAATGTAGTGAAGAAATAACTTCAGCTATATTGCAAAGGCTGTTTCCAAAATTAGTACTGCTTATAAGCCATGCAGCTGTAACCTCTCATGTAAGGCAACGAATCCCTTTATATGCATCAGAGAAACTGAAGACTTCAAAGAATATATCAGAAAGCACGAGCATGGCTGCACTGGTAAATTTGGCTGAACCAACAAGAGTATTATTTTAAGGAGCAACTAGAGAGCTGAACTTCATTACCAAAAGAAACTACGACACAATATACCTTTTCTGAATAAGTGGAACAGAGCTGAATAAATTCAGCCCAGATGGAAACTATCTGATGGTCTGTATCCGTGGGTATGGGTTAGTTAGTTTTTTGAGAGCTTAAATAGTCCATCATACTAGTTGTGGCCTTCTTCAATCTTAGAAATCTTACGATGCCACAATATGTATGTTTTTGAATAGTCATTTTTTAATATGTGTCTCTCACTGAGAATTGACATTGACGCGTGCTTGCTAGCAATTTGGATACTTGGATACAAAATCTGCTATTTGAGGTCCCTTGTTTAGCATATAATTCAACTTTTTAGAACCACATTTCTGCTCGCCAAATCCTGAGGAATTTATAAGTAAATGTTTGGAAGTAAATATGTGCTTAGACACGTTGTGCTGCACCAGGTGTTAGATTTCTCACTAAAATTCCAGGTCCATTGTGAACCATTGATTAGAATTTTTATATACTTTCAGTACAGGTCATAAAAATACAATTTATATTTGAAAGCTTCCATTTTAAAGTATTGGTAGGCTTGCTGCGTTAGAGAAATGTGATGCATGTGTGCATGTAATTGAAACGATGTGCAAGTACTGAAAGGCACTGCAGTACTTACATATTCAACATAAGGGAATTGTATTGAGGATTTTGGAGCCTTTAGTAGGGCATCTATAATGTGGGTTGATAATTTTATTTTTGACCAGAAAACCAAACCATGTAGTAGGGTGAATCCATTGCTGTGCATCAAGACAGTCATTTTGTATCACTGCTCTGTTGCATTTTGAATGTACGACAAAGTAAACACAAATAGCTCAGTATATAAGTTTTGATTTTTTTTATACTTGCTAAGCATAAACTCATACTCGCTATGTAAAGCATGAAGTATAAAACTTACATGTATACTCACTTGCAAAGATGATTTATATTATTCCTGCATTTTCTAGTTCGGAAAGTTATATGGAAGCCCAGGCTTTCCTGATGAGGAATTTCAGAGGGAGGTTTGAAAAATACATCATACCGTGCTTTGTTGCAAGTGGAGATATTGACGAAAAGAAAGACTCAGAAAGTCTCACCTGCAGGTATTCTAAACACAAATGACTTGAAACAATATTTGGAACAATGCACAGTATTTGCAATTTATGATACTTCAGAAATTTCATAGGGAAGTGGTAGCGATGTTAATTTATTCATCTGAGGAGAAAAATTGTTTTCTTATCTTAATTACTTCAGTAGTCAGTGGTAGAAAGGCGTGCTTACACCCCACTAGTAGGATAAGAATCTAAGACGTGATTATCAAAGCAGCTTGGAAAACAATTGTATGAAAAATGTAATAGCTAGATGTAGTCCATCTTTCTGCGTAGGCAATACACAAAAAAAGCAGCCACTAAGAATTGTTTTCTTTTGTAATAGCATTTTAATGAAACCCTGTCATGTGAACAGAATAGGAACAGATTTCTGACAACAGCTTTTTTTCTGTGTGATCTATGAGCAAATATTCTTTTACTGTCTCCTCAGCCCCTATAACACCTTGTTTTTGGAGTTGCACTGTCCAGCTGTAGCACCATCTGTTGTGGTCACTTCAGATAATGGAAAAAACACAGTAAATTTTGGTGATGTTGCAGTAGGTATGAAATTTGAATTCAAGCTTTGAGCTTTTTCTGTCTGATCTTAATTTATTCAAGGTTGTGCATTTTATTTTTACATTCAGTGGATTTTTTAAAAGTCAGTATAGAAATTAGCCCTGTAAAAGGTATTCAGGAGGAAAATTAGGAGCCTATCTGGACAGCTGGAGCATGTAAAAAGCTGATCTAATCCTGAAACATAGAATCAGGAGCTCAATAATTGACTGTCCAAATTTGAAAAAGTTTGATGAGTTTTTACTGTATATTAGCCATAGATACAGAACAAATGTTTGGTGCAAATATGAGCAGGAGTTAAAAGAAGTGGTAGTGTAGAGTGAGCTTCATCGTGTTTTTGAATTTTGTTTTCATTCCTACCAGGCCACACAATAATTAAGCAAGTTACAATACAAAATATCTCCCCAGAAAAGCTGGAAGTATCCTTATTTGGAATATGTGAGTTAATCTGCCATTCAGTTACAGTTTAATTTGAGTCTTCATCTGTAGGAACTGTTTGACACTAAAGTAAGGAGGAGGTAGCAGATTTCAGACTTAATTATTATATTTCGGAGTGAGACAGGAGGTGACGTGAAGCTTATTTTCCTGAGGATATATAACCAATATATTCTTCTTCTCTCTTAGTTACTGATCTCTGGAAGAGCTTATGAATGGTTGATTTACAATTTTTTTGGTCTGAACAATACTTAGAATCTCTTTTTTTTGTTTATTTGTTTTGTTTTATTTTATTTCCAGTTTCTGTATTCACTTTTTTCCTTGAGTTGCACTGTTCTAGCTAGGATTCTCAGTTCTGAATCCCAGTGGTCCCTTCCTGTTGGTCAGACCAGTTAGAATACTTGAGCCAGGTGAAAATAAAGCCCTCATCATCTCTTTTTCTCCAAATGAGAATAAATTGGTGAGTAAGATACAGCAGTAATGCGGAAAAGAGAGACAAAGAGGGAAATAAGGGGCGGTGTAAGAAACACATATTAAATACTGGGATGTGTCTGTAGCAAAACTTTGGTGCCTGTGCCTAGCACCTCTCAGCATTTGCATTGCTGTCCGTGCACTGTGTCCAGGAGTTTTGCAGCAATGGCCCACGGGAGCTGGGGGAGCTGGGGCAGAGCGGGGAGTGGCCGGAGGGGAGGCTGATTTGGAGCCGGTGCTGCTTTTGTGGGCGGGTGCAGGGTGGGGTGGGGGGGGTTCATTAATCAAATGAGCTAGCGCCAGCTTCTTCTTGGCAGTTTTTTGAAGCGCTAGACATCCGGACAGCACAAAAGAACTTAACCCTAAGTATCATGGGGTGTGGGGTGATGCCATCAATTGTTTGCTCTGTGGAGGAAGTACTGGATATGGGATATGTCCTTGCCAGAGAGAAGACAACTTTCACGTTTGAGGTAAAGCCCTCTATGCTGATCCAGAAGGCACGTCAGCAGTTGTAGGTTGGAAGAGGAGTTCTGTAGTTTCCAGTCTGGCAGAACGTGAGGCTGAATAGCAAGCTGTAGACAAAAGAACAGCTTTAAAAGCAGCACGTCTGGCAGAGTAATCTGAGGCTGAGACAGTTTGGGGCTAAAGGTAACAGTGCTGTGCAGGGAGGATCTTGTTTGCTAGAACTGTGCTGCCTGCAGGATTCTGCCTGTGCAAATAACAGGGATGCAGAACCTTCTATACAAGAAGAGAAAGGGTCTGTGTGATCTCTCTCATAGATCTAGCTGATATGTAGACATCTGTGAAGCCAGAAACAGCTTTGCTTTCAGTAGTGTTAGAAATATTTGCCCTCTTTCTTTATTCTGTCCATTACTCCCCTCACAGTTGAGGTTGCTCTGTGTCCACAGAGACAGAGATACATTGACAGATACATTGGTGAAATGCAAAATTGTCCTACAAAGAGCACATGGAGGTCTGCCATGGTACAGTGTAGGGAACAGTTTAACTGATCACTTGTTCATATATTGCAGATTTCCACAAATTCAGAAACAGTACAAGATTTAGGCAGAAATTTTCTCCTCTAAGTACATCAATAATCAAAATACATTACTTGCTGCAAGACTTAAAAGGAGGCTGGTCCCTGTTGCTGAGGGGTAGGAGCAGATGTTGCACGTGGATGGCAGTAACGCATGCTGTGTGTGGCATCTGGGTACACAACTGTGGAGTAATGCAGCAAACTAAATTCATCCAATTTAAAAGTATGGATCCTACAGTCCTGAAAATCTTCTTAATGAAAGTGCTGTCGTGTAAATTCGTGTTATCAGATGCAGAACACTTCTACACTGACCCTGCAATATTCCATCCAACTGGATTCACTTTCTCCAACAAGGAACAAAGATCAGCAGAGACTTCCATCCTTTCTTACGTCCTCTTTGCAAAGAACAGAGATTGTTGGTAATTTTTTCCCCACTTTTTTTTTTTTTTTTTAAACAAAAAAGGACTCATGAAATATCTAATAGCAGCAATACTTTGTCCTGGTAGATCTATTCAAGGTTATGCAGCCTGAGCAGATATCCACAAGTAAGGAGACACAAGTGTTTGAATCTGAATATGCCCCTACTGCCTTTTATATAATATTTATATTAAAGAGTATATTTGGGGATATCCATCTCTGTAAAAATATGCTGGAGAGTATAGGGAAAGGTTGGTGATGCCTCTTCAGCTTCATTAGAGATGAGTGTATTAAAGTAAAAAATAAATAAATCTAAATGAAATTTAGACAAAACAAAAATGAAATTAGTTTAAAAAAAAAATGAAGAAGGAAAACAGAACTGTTCTTCCGTACTCATATCATTATTTCTGTTTACCAGGAACAGAGAACTATAGTGGTTTAAGCGTGTTCAGCATCTTTCCGACACAAGGAGAAATTGCTGCTGGGAAGAGCCAGGATTTTGTTGTTACTTTCAGTCCTGATCATGAAAGCCTGTACTATTTGGACTGTCTCAAGGTTGTGCTCTTTGGCAAGGTGGGGCAATCAAGATACCTGATAATGAAATGGAAGTCTAAATATGACCTATGGTATTTTTAGCAGCATGGGTCTTAGTAGGAGTTTCACATAATTATATCCAGTGGACGGGATTTGTAGGCAGAAATATTATCTATATTAAATTGATGGGGGTAGGAAGTGACAGTTTTGGGGCTCACTGGCTTTTTTCAGGCTTTAAATTCTCAGTTCCTAATTCATACCAATTGTGACTTGGGATTCAGTCCTGTCTCCTACCCAGCTGTCCACATTGTGTACACGGGAGGTGATGGGAGCCAGCTTGCTGCTGCACTGCTGAGCACAGTTCCAACCGGGTTCTCTGCAAGCAACATTTAATTGTAGCGGAGAGTGGAAATAAGACTGCAGAGTGCAAACTGGCAGGTGCGCTGAGTACCAGGAAGCTGCTTCTGCAGTCACTCAGCGTGCGGGAGGAGGTTTCCATCTGTAGAGCAGCAGTTGAGCTTAGACAGAGCCCAAATCAGGATACACAGGCTGGCAGCATTGCAGGTAGCTTTGTGCCATGTTCCAAAAGAGATGGCCCAAAAGTTAATGAAGAGTGCCAACTAATGACTGTCAGCAGGCACTGCAAACAGTAGAAACTGGTAGTGAACAAGTAAGTACTGCTGCTCTCCTTGCAAGTTTTGTATCTCCAGGTTATCTTTGGATCTGCAGGTAAGAATGAAAACCAGAGTAAGATGAATAAAAACTGTCCTAAATTCACAAACTTGAAGCTGTCTTTGGCAACAGATAAATTTTGCCCATTTTAGTAGCTTTAGTATAGTTTGTCCAGTCTCTTTCTTTGGCGCACTGCCCAAGAATGAAAGGCTGTAGAAAAGAAAATGCCTGAGTGACACCCAAAAGACAAAGGTAAGATGCAGGATCCTTGTGTTAGTGTGGGGCACCTCTTGGCGTTAATATAGGCAGATGTAATTTTTAAGGAGCTGAAGCTGTTGTATCAGTATTGCAGTTACACTGCTACTTAAGCTGTAACCTGCATCTAAAGCGTTCTTGTCCTGTATAGAAAATAGCCCATGTAATCCAGCTAAAGGGTGCAGCAAAAGAACATCCAATGTTTGTGGAAGGTGGAATTCCACTCGATGTGCCCATCGAGTCCTTGGCTGTAATGTTACCTGTGTCATCGCAGGAAGCACTCAAGGAAGGTAATATGCTGCCACATTATTACAAAATAAAGATAACCTTTCAGTATCCAGAATGAATAAGCATTATGGTGTAGCCTATATTCGTAACACACACACACACACACACACACAAAAAGAAACCTTCCCTTAAGAAAGGCTTTTATCTGAATTCTAACGCAATGATGTCTTAATATAATCTATCTGTGTACCTTACCTTGCAAAAAGCTATTGTAATTATTACTAAGACAGAGAATTAGGGTGTATTTGCTGTCTGCTACTTCTCCTACTTGCATTAAATATTTATAAAATTATTTCCCATCTAATAAAATAGCCTGGACTCTCCTGACTGTACTGTTAAGAAGTTGACGTGCTTTCAGGGGTATGAATTTATCCTCCCTTAATTTCCTTGGACAGGATTTCTGTTCAGAGATGGTATGTAAGCACCTTCTAGCTCCTGAGCTATAAATAAACACAAGCACTTACCGTACACAAGTAGGACTATAGTACGCACAATGTATATGCCATGGGGCTAGAAAACGAACATGAATTAGAAGTGATGGTGGTGTAGTTTAACCCTGGCAGACAGCTCAGCACCATGCAGCCGCTTGCTTGCTCTCCCCCCAATGGGATGGGGAACAGAATCAGAAAGGTAAAAGTGTGAGAATTTGGGCTGACATAAGGACAGTTTAGTAGGCAGAGCCAAAGCTGCGTACGCAAGCAAAGCAAAATAAGGAATTAATTCATTATTTCCTGTCAGCAGGCTGGTGTTCAGCCACTTCCAGGAAAGCAGGGCTCATTGTGCCCAACAGCTGTTTCGGAAGTCAAATGCCATCATTCCGCAAGTGCCCCGGCTTGTCCTGCTAAGCAGGGCACCTCGTGGTGGGGACATCCCCTTGGGCAGCCTGCACCCGCTGTCCTGGCCCCCAGCTTCATCGCTGGCAGGCAGCAAAAGCAGAAAAGGCTTTGATTCTGCGTAAGCACTGCTCTGCAACAACTCAACATTAGTGTGTTATTGCCACAATTTTCATCAAAATCCAAAACACAGCATGATACGTGCTACTGTGAAGAGAATTTACTCCATCTCAGCCAAAAGCAGGACAAATAGAAAACCTGCTTTTGCTTGATTCTTCACTAACTCTGTAAGAGGGATCTCCTTATCTATGCCAACTCATGAATGTGCCACATCACTTTGTTTTGAGCCATCTTGGCATAATTTATTTCTGCTCTAAACTGATAATCCTTCAGTTTTGACGGTCTCAAAGTCTACCTGATTCATATTTGTTTAGAGCTACAAGAACCAGTGAAATCCATTCTCCTGGTACTGGAGCACATCGAGGGAGAGAATTCTCTGGTGCCAGCAAAAACAGAACTGAGAGTTGGAGCTATACGGACAGCTCAGTTTGCAACTAAGAAGGTGAAGAAAATAAGAAATTTATGTCAGATGCTGCAAAAATATTGATAGAGTACAAATGGTTACTAGTTCCTTCTGTCAAAAATTTGCTCTTTAAATTAAAAATGCAATTCTCAGGGTCTCTAACAAACTTAACATTATAAAAGATCAGCATATGAAAGCAAAAGGTGGGTTGTTTTGTTTGGTTGGTTTTGTTTGTTTGTTTGTTTTCAGGGTTTAATGAGAGGAATTAGCATTATGGTATTAAAAGTAAACAGAATTCAATTACCAGTTTCCTTCCCTGATACTGAAATACAGAAATTTGAGTACAGAACTGAATGGCAGTTCTGATCCTCTCATTTTTTATACCATATTTTATGACAACCTGTGACAGCAAACAGGATGGATGTTTGCAACTTCAAATGGCAGAAGTAGTTTGGCAAACAAGGGTCATATATAGCATCTGTGCGATGTAAACTTTAAGAAACAGTGACTGCGTGTGAAGAAGTTGAACTGGCTGTAACGAAGGTACATTATGTGTCTCTTGTAGAATGTGGAGTTCAGTTTTGATAACCTGTCACTCCTGCAGAAGAAGGGATTCAGTGTTGAATTTGTCAAGGGAACCGTTGATCGTGGTCAAGTAAAATGCATCAGCGTTTCTTGGGTGCCACCTGCTGACTTGGATGTAAGTAACAGTTGCACACTGCTTCCCAGACTGCAATAAAAAGGCTGATCTTTGAGATGTCAGGGTACCAGGCAGCTTGGGCACATTAGGATGATGGAACACTTCACCTAAGAGAGTTTAGGTTGGTATAAACACTGGTATGGGAACAAAGTCCAGGAACTATAGGTATGATTTTGAGCCTTGCTATCTTGTCTTAGACTTCAAATCATGTGTGATGGGAAGAGCAAGCATCATTCACTTGCACTTTATAGGACATAAAATAACTTTTTACAGGCCACTGCATTATATACATGTAGTGCCAAAATACTGCTGCTGTTCACTAAAAGACACGGCTTTGGTGACAGTGATGAAGTGAGCTTCTTAATATCCCCCTTTGCAAGGAAATCTGCAGTCCTACTGACAGAGAACTGTTTCCATGGATCATTCTGCCCTGGGGTCCACACTTCTGTCTGTGAGTGCCTCTTTTTTGGAATATTCCTGGAGGTCACTGAGACCTGTTTGATTTCCCACCTCATGAACCTTGCTTCTGCCTTTTTGTATTGCAGTCTTGGTGAGAGTTCGAAACATCCCTATAGGGCTGTAATTGCCCTTCCTGATTCATCTTCATGGGATGGAAATAATTCACTCTGCTGCTTTTTGTTGTCAGCAGTGTGTGGGATGGCAGAATGAGTGCTCTGATGCAAAATTACAAGGATGCTGTCATCATGTGTGGAAGGAAGGAAGGCACTAGAGTTCCTGGCATGACACATGAGGTTGACATAGTGGCTCTTGGTAACCACGGGGTGTTACACAAGATTTAACACTAGCTCATGGCTAACAGGACCCATCTCTTCCCTAACCCTCACTGCAGCACACTCGTGTCACTTGCTTTGCCCAGTTGTGGTGGTAATGTGGTGGCAGTATCGGCAGCACTCTGCAGATAGAGCACTTAGTCATTGCTGCTTTGCTTACTGCAGTGTGAGTGTTGCGTGAAAACATGAAAAAGCCAACCAAGTAGGAAGAGAGGTAACCAACAGCTTTAACAGGCACCTCTTACAACTGAAACATACACTGCTTTAGACCTTGATCAACTAACCTGCTCTGTGTGCGAAAGAAATAGGTTGGTTTTGTGTGTGCATTTTTTGTAGACCACTGGCCCTGTGATGGAGACAGCCCTCCTGACCTTAAAGGGTGACGTTAAGGAATCTTACCGAATCATCTGCATGGCGAAAGTTATATCAGCGTGTGCTCCCAGTAACTGATGGAACCAAGCTAAATGGGAAGGAAAATGGAGACTTATATTTTTGGGGAGGTCTTTGGATCTCAGTTGGAACATGAAAAGATTTTGAGATTGCTGCAGATATGTAAGGGGAGGTAGGAGAGAGAAAGGAAGGTAACTTATACATTTTCTGCCTCTTTTTTTTCTTTACAAAATTCTGTATAAACTCTGTTTCCAATAGTTTTATTTTCAGACTGACTGTGACAATAACCTTGTAGTAGAAGGAAGAATTAACATAAGGGGCCACTTGGATGCATCTGCTGTTAATCCCAGTGTTTTCCAAAGGCAAATTCACTCAGGCATATTTTTGTTGAATTTCTAAATGTGTGAGTTTCAAGCAATGTATCTTTTTCTGGCCTCATTTTCACATATGTAGAAAGTCCCTGATATTTTTTTTCCTGTTAAGACTACAATAAAGCTTTTATTTTTAAGTCTCCTCCAATTCTCTTGGGCAGTTATTTTCACAATACACTGTGCAATCATCCTCATGACACATGGTCAAGGCTACAGTGACCACACTGTGTACTGAATCACTGAATGTGCTTAGGCATTTGGTCTAGATCATGCCTATCCAGGAACTTTGAGAAAATTCAGTGAAAAACAGATGTACACTGAGAATAGATTTGTGCCAGCTGCTGGGGAAGCTAGAGTGTCCTTCCTCAAGAAGCAGTATCCAGTTCAGGGAAGAGCACAGAGCAAGTACAATATAGAGAATAATGTGTCAGTCAGACCGCAGGAAAAAGCAGTAAAGCACTTGTCCCCAGAAATGTTTTAACTATTTTTCCACTTTGTGTAGGAAACGCTTGTGTAACTGATGAAAAAGAAGAGAAAAATGGATGAGATTTCTGCAACTTGTTTCAGGCCACGTGAATGCTGAGCTGTTCAGCTGGTCCTTTGGCTGTTGATGTTTATAATGCATACAATACAGAAACAGCAGCTAGAATCAAATGTGGATTCTCCCTTTCTGATTCTGGCTCTGCTGTGTCAGGCACCAGTCAAAGACAACACAAGTAGCTTTTAACATCATCCATTTTTCCTGTACCAGGCTGAGCTCTGTGAACTACGTTTTGTCTGTGTACTCCTTAATACAATGGATCCTGATTATAGTTCCAAGCTATGGCTTGTGATGCATATTGTAGTAATATTCTGGAAACGTAAATGTTCCCAAACTATGCATAACATCTGTTAGTTATTTCTGGGAATGCTTTCAAAATGAGCACAGGGTTATTCTACATTAATGTTTTTTAAAAACACTGTGAGCAATGGGCCCACTCTAAAACCTGGGTTCTCCCACTACAGACAGCTGCAGATCTCCAATTCTTCGCCAACATCAGAATGGTTCATGATATGGCCTAACGTCAATGATTGGAAAGAAGGAAAAAAGAGGCAGTGGGAAGCCAAGACAGATTTGCTCCCAAGCACAATTTGAAGAGGGAAGTGCCACAACTGACCAAATTGATCTTCACAATACAAAATTGCAGTTACCTGAAAAGCACACCATAAGGCTACTGAAAAGTTAGGAATTATATGTGGCTGCTCCTACCTAAACAATTGTTTTATATAATGGATATGAAAATACAGGAAACGGAAAATTGACTGACACGAGTGACTATAGGAACCAATTCTGCTGCCAATTTAGACACATCAAGCTGAACTAAAAATAGCGGGTTTGTGGGTAATTCCTTGAGGACATCAGGTGAAGACAGCTGAGAGCCCTATTGCGTTACATTTGCATGGCTTCATGCCAACCTCACAACTACCAGAAGCTCAACACAGCAGCTTAAGCCTTCATGCAAGTTTTCTCTTGAAGAAACAAAAAATCCTGTTCAGTGCTGGCCAGCAACAGTCATAGTGCAGTTGGTATCAAAAGTGCCAGGAGAAACTCAATGTGATCTGATGTTCCTGTTTCCATGTTGTAAGACTCCAGGAAGGATGGAGCCCTTAATGTGAGGATAATATTGAAAATCTATCCGCAGAAATGCATCAAAGTTTTCCAGAAGGGTAAGTTTTCTGTTCCTGTAACTGTACTTCTGAACACTACGCTTTCAGACTTGAGTTTTGCATCTGTAATTGCTCTTGGATGGCCAGATGCAAACTCCTCTACTTTCAGAGAAGTGTGTATCTAAATACCTCGTGGTTCTCATCCAGCTCTATTTTAATAAGAAAGCATTTCACAGCCATGTATGATTTTTATAATCCTTAGAAGCTGCACCTAGCTCATTTCTAAACCAGAAAGGAAGTGACAGAGCAAGTCCTAGAGTCATACACCTCATCAATACATGTTGGGATTACCCAGTGACTTCAGAGGTTGTTTCACACTTATAAACGGAGCTTTTCCCAAGTGACCAATGATCCCATGACCCTGGGTGGTCCTGTAGGAAAGTAGTCCAGTCACCAACACGTGACATTACTGATCCTTAGAGGACTGGGCTTCAGCCCTATCAGCTGGAGAAGGAACCACTGAACCCAGTAACTTCCAAGCTACTGGGTCTGGCGTTGTTCCCAGTGTTTTGGCACCAATCCATGGCTCTTGCAGAAGAAACCTCTGTCAACCCAAGTCCAAATACATTTCCTCCTGTTGCATTAAAATCTCAGGGAAAAATAAGTAAATATAACTTGTGGTTTGTCACACTAATTACTGGAGGAGATTTTATACAAGCAGCCAAATACAAACCACTGAGGCACCTGAATACCAGCAAAATGCTCTTTTATTAGTTGATCTTCCCCTTTGTTCTCCAACTAAAACCTTTCATAATCCATTAATTAGTTCCCTGCTTTTTAGCTCTAGTTGCCTTTTTTTGTTGCTTACCCAGCCACATAGCACAGCCACTGTGACTGATCATCTTTCACATGGGCTGGCAGGAGGGGTTTTGGCATGTAACTGACCTCTGCTGTATCGGTGCTGGCAAGGTGTCTGACCTTTAAATCACCTACTCTGAAGCAGAAATAAGCCGTGTTCATTCATACACAGTGGATGTGGGTGACCTTTGATGGATGTTTTGCTCTTCCCTGATGAGGGCAGGACTGCTGTAACCAGCCAGGGGAGAGTTTTGATGCAAAGGGCTGCGTGCAGGGCTTCACCATGATGGGAACTGCAGAAAAGTTGTCGTTTAGAAGGGGAAAAGCTGCTGTAATAATTGCTATAGTTGAAGTAATGAAACAGTTTCTGGAAAGTTTTTACCAAATAGTATCAACGCTATTGCAAGGCAGACATAACAACATGAAGGTCCTTAATTTATACATTTGAAATGTTGAGCACGGTTAAATTATTTTGGAGCAAGGCCATTTCCGGGGAGTAGATGATGCCTTTTCATTCATCTGTGCGTTTTAAAAAGACTTTCTACAAAGGGAAACACTCTGCTTTCCCAAACCTTTTTTATTTATTTATTTTTAATATTTTCGATCCTTTTCCACGACTCCTCCACCATCTCTCGCACGCTGCACAGGCAGAAGAGTGTCCAGCACACGAAGCCGCCGTCGGCCTCCCGCGAAAAGCGCCGAGCCGCAGCCCCGCGGCCGCCCAGCCGGAGCCGGGAGCGTTGCGCACCCCTCGGGGCCGGCGCCCCCGGAGCCGCTCCCGCAGCAGCCCGGTCCCGGCCCCGCCTCGGCGGCTCCTCCCCCGGCGCTGCCGCCTCCGGGCCCCGCTCGCCCTTGAGGCGGTCCACGGCCCCGCTCCTCTCCTCCTTTCGGTGACATCGCTCCGCGCCCCTGCCCGCGGCTGGAGGCGCTCCGACCGGTGAGTACCCAACGCCGGGCGAATCTGCGCCCACCCCGCTCCAGTGACCTTAGCGGAGCAGAGGGGTACTCGCTCCTGGCCGCCCAGTGCTGCTTTTTTTTATCCCCCAGACCCGCACCGGCTCGCAGACGTGGCCCGGCTGGCCTTGCTGCGCCTCCCCAGGGTCTTCTGCAAAGGCAGCCCCCCCTGTCACCTGCAGCTCTGCTGGGACGCCGCACTCTGAAACGTGTCAGAAGCTCTCCCCTTTTCTTTGTACGTAGGTAACTCTGAATAAAACATTCCTGGAGCTACGGAGTACACAGAGCTGTGAAGCACTGAAGCTTTCATAGCACTGGAGCTATGAAAAAGTAATTTAAAAGTATCTGGGAGAAGTAGGAAGTTAGGCTGGGTTAAGGAGCTGGACTCAAAGATCCTTGTGGGTCCCTTCCAACTCAGGATATTCTGAGACTCTGTGAGCGTTTGCTGTGGCACTTCACCCTTGTTAAGGTGAAATAACTGCCTCATAGTTCTGAGAATCCAGCACGTGTAGTTCTCTCTCCTAAGCAACAGCAAAGTTCCACTTTGAAAACAGTTCTTCACCCAGGACCCCGCTTACACAGTGGGATTTGTGTGCTCGCAGCTGGAGTAATGTTACAACCATGAGGAACAGTCCTCTGAAACTAAATCAGGGGTGTTTTTGTTCCATATCCCAGATGATTGCTTTTCCTTTTTCAACTCAAAAATGTGTTCCCTGACATGTATTTCCTGCTTGAGTGCAGATACTTAAACCAGTGAATTATCCACCTTCCTTCACAGATGCCCTCAGAACATGTCTAACTGGACAAGTCTGTGGTATGTCTGGTAAGTCGATTGTTAATCTTACTAACCTCGGAGTAATTTGACATATAGTAAATAATAAGCAGTAATTGCAGTAAAACAATGGGAATGCTCCTTTCAAGACACAATGTGGGAAAGGGTTTCTCCTGTTTTATGAAAGCCACCAGTGGAATGACCGCATCGCAGAGGAGATACGGTGTCAGGCGGGACGGAGCATTCATCTAGGGATATGTCATCTTTCCATTCTGAGTACGCTCAAGTTCAGCCATAGCGCTTGCTTGTTCTTCCTAAATAAACAACTTTGAGCACAATGGCAGCTGCCCAGAACGGGCTCGTTAGGGCTTGGCACTGCGCTGCCTCCTGTGCAGTCCCCAGCTCACTCCCTTTTATGGGACACAGCACCGTTAGCTTGTGGCGCGGGTTTGTCATTCTGAACTCAGGGTGATTTTACAAAACTGTTCCCTGGCTGCTTGACTGAAAGGGGAAAAATAATGGTGAGTAAAAGGCAAAGGGCTCGCCACAAGTGGGTTGGTCTCTGGCCTAGGTCATGCATTGTATGTACCCTAACATTGGAGTTTGCATTCTGTCACATACCATTAATTTTGATGACATGCAGAGTGAGTTGGTTACTTTTCATTGTCATTCTTTGCTTTCTTAGAATGTGTTGATATAGAGCCATTTAAAAATACATATTATACAATGTATTTTAAGGCTTCTGCAATTAGGCAGCATTGAAATCGTGACAGCTAATGAGCCAGTGCTGAGACTGATAGCACTGCGATACCTTTCCCTAGGTGATTTCTGCCTCCATCAGAAGGCAGCGTGTGAGGGCTCACAATCCTTTATTTCATGGCACACTAGCGGGCAACTCCTGGGTGTGAGGACTTAAGGATTAGCTAGTGCTGAGGTAACGCTCCTCGCACTACAGGGATGTTTCATTGCAAAGTTATAGTAGGACAGCATGCACTTCTGGCACGTGGTTTTAAATTCCCTGAAAGCATTTTTCTAAAACAGTAATTTGCATGAAAATGCATGAAATTTGTGGAAGTTTGAGGCCCTCAAATCTAAACTTTGAGTGTAGTCTGTGTGTGCATCTGACTCATACTAAAGAGAAACATTCTCTCTTTAAAACCAAACAAAACAGTTATTAAAGGAATGTTTTGTTTGGAAACATGATTCTTATGGACAAGTACTACCTTTGGTTTGGAGAAAAGAACAGAATGCTACTGAGGCCTTTTCTACAAACCCTTGCCATTGAAAGTGGAGCCGTTCTCACTGCACGTAAGCCAAGGTAATTAACATCACAGCATCTGTGAGCCAGAAAGGATTGTACCAACAGTCAGTAGCACTTCGATTTGTGATTGTTTGTGATCCAGCACCCATTCAGAACCGCGCCTGAGAAGGTTTGGAAGGTTTGGCCTGTCTTTCACCCATTTAGAACAAAATTATATTCATCTCTAGAAGAAGCAAAACGTAAGCACTGACTTTACGATGTTGTTCTCCATCCGCTTCCAAGGTTAATCTTGCTGACTATGTTCATGCTCCTGCTCTGTGGGATCACAGCCAGCTGCATCAAGTTCTGCTGCCGGAAAAAGAGGCCTCCAGTTCAGCCCTTCCCTCGGCACCCCTACGATCTGACTGGTGTTGCTATTGACAGCGACAGCACAGCCCACAGCACAGTGACCTGTAAGTACCCATGGGACTCAGCTACTCAGCTGTGCTTTGTGGTAGAGCAAGTGTCCAGAGTGCTGTGCTCTGTCCTTGCAACAACAGGAACTTTCTGAGCTCTTCTCAGAACATCTTCCAAATCCACAGGGAGGGCATGGGAAAACTGAGTGTCATCAGGGCCACGCAGTAAGTGAATGCAGATGGCAAGTAGGATTTAATGGTGCAGAAGTTAGAATAAAGTCTGTGGGGGGTTAAACTCTCACGTGTCCCCTCTCACATCTGCTCTAATTCTCACTGCTCCATTTGTTTTAACTCTTTCTGCCCACCTCACTGCCCAACTATTTCAGACCACGTTATCTCAAACCCTAAGATGTTGTTCCCAGTTGTTGGTGTAGGAACCCAGCTGGAACTGCCTCTGTTACAGCATACACCTACAGTGTCAGGTGTTCTTCAGTAACAGCTGGATGGCAATATGCACAGACATTTTCTCTTCTGACAGCTCTTTTTTTGGACAGTGTACAGATTCCATAAAGTAACTCTGTAGTGGTAGCTTTTAGTTTACAGTGCATACGTTCTGCAAACAAAAATTGAGTCCATAATTTATTGGAGAAGAATGGGATTAGTCTTTTCTATATCAGGGTTTCATGCAACTGTTTAATTTTTTTTCATTCCTTTTCTTCACAGCATACAGCTCATTCCAGTACCCTCTGAGTGTCCCTATTCCTTCACTATTTGTGGGCATGGACAGGAGCACTGTGTCCCCTCCAGCTTACAGTCCCTACACAATGGAGTTGCCACCTTCTTATGATGAAGCTGTCCAAATGGGTAAACAATACATTGAAGTAGCACTGGTCAGCCAGAAGCTCAGTGACATCACTGAACAGGTGATGCCAGGTGGGCTGAATTGCACCCAGTGTTCACCTGATAGAACCAACAGAGATCCAGCAACACAGCCCAGCTCAGAAAATTCAGAAGATGTACCACAAGAACAGCCTCAGCTCTAGCTCATTTCACATTTGGAGTAAAGGAATGCAAGGCACAAAGAATTTGGTTTTATAAGACAAGTTTCGATGAAAAGATGTTTCCTCCCATGCAGTTGTAATGATCTGTCAGAAGAAATGTTTTCTGCTGTAATTTCCTGGTTAAGCTTCTTCAGGGATATGAAGGGAAGTAAAAGGGCAGCAGTTTAAAAATACCTGTACAAGTGGAACAGGGATGCTTGTTCATCATCTCCTGATTAAGAAAAATGATTCCCTGTGCCCAGCATATGGCAACAAAAAAAAAGGTCAGGGCGATTTTGCCATCTTGGAAAGAAAGAGCAAGTTGTTCAAGAACAGAACCTTCCCAAACTGGAGTTGAAAGCAGAATCCCACAAACTTGTTCTGAAGAGTCTGTGATACTCAGATGCTCTGTAGTTTCATTTATTTTGGGAACTTTAACTGTCCAGCAAACTGCTGAGGTGCTAAACTTGCTGCTACACAATGGCACATGTTCCTACACTGAAGGAAGATGGCAGGAATGTATTTGAAGGAAATGTATGATCTTGTGTTTCCCAACTAGAATCATTAGTTATGAGACTTGAAGGTGTTTGATTATTGTTGTTGTTTTTAATCTTTAAACTTCTATTTTTAAGATGCAGTGGTTTGTGTGGGATCCTTTTGCTACATATTTTGCCAGTTAAAGTACAAATTAGTTTTGGAGGTATTTCTGCACATGGTTAAGTATTACTAATGTTTCAAATATTCAATTTCTTTGTTGATTAAGCCTGGTGGATTTGAAAAACACCACAAATTGGAAAATGTCTATTGTTTCAGATAGCCAAATATATATTTTCTGTATTTCAGAAGAATATGATACTACCATCATCAGAATTTACCTTACAAAATCTCACCTGGAGGGATAATTAATGTGAACTTGACAAACACTTAAACCTCAGGGGAAAAAAAGGCTGAAATAAATAGCAAGATAACCCACATGGCATCAGTTTAAAGGTTTATGAAAAACTATTAGCTATTCAGTTGAATTATACTACCTGCCAGTGTCAGCAGCAAGTTCATAATGATTTTCTGCAGTGTGAATTTCTCCCAAATAAAACATTTATTTCTGTATTGATAATGTTTGTTTGAATTAAACAGGAAAATCCACAGTGGGGGAATTAAGGATGAAAGTAACATGTACCGGGGCCACTAAAAGAATAGTTAGGTGCTAAGCAAATGTTTGCGTATAGGTTTATCCAAACCATATGGAAGTTCTCAGGGCAGCAACAAACTTTATGTATTTGGAGAAGCAAGATGAGAGCTAATGGATCATACAGAACAACAACAAATACCAAGAACAATAAAATGAGATCTTAATGATTTAGACAGAGGGTGAAAGTTACTTTTCTGACTGCTTGTGTGTTTGCATCTGTACATATAGTCACCAGCACCTGAATAATACATTGTTAGCCATTAGCTCTAGTGTATCTCTATCTATGTTTCAAAAATACTAAGCTATGCAAAACTTCAGTATTAGTAGTGTTTATCAATGAAAATGTATTTCCTACTCACCTCAGATATCCAGGCAGATAAGAAGCAAGTGTTATTTTTAAGTGAAACTAGATTAAATGAAAAACTAAGATCATGAGATACCTGTAATTTCCGTATAACGTCTACTCAAGAATAGAATGGCACTTTGATTTCCTCAAAGAAACATGCTTTTATTGCCATCTGCTGAAGGATCAGCTGAACTGTGTTGCATTAAACTGCTGTGTAGTGACCACCACTCCCTTAACGCTGATCAAAATCATCAAATAGCATGCTGAATTGCCTTCAGGTGCATGGTTTAGAAACAGGCTTTGCTATAAAGACGAGTGTTACAGAAACTAAGCATCACTTACGTTGTTGTAGAGAAACTGGAAAGTACCCTGAAACATGATCGCAGAGTTCACTTTCTAGTCCTCTTGCTACAAAAATAACTTGCTACTTGACTGGAGAAGTTGGTGTCAGCTGAAATCGTATGTAATGCCCTACCTTATGTAGCCACCAGAGCTGTCTACTTACTGGCTTTCTGCATCCAGCTCATCAGAAGTAATGTCCTCATAAGATTTTTGCAGACAAAGACCATCCCCACTTAGCACTTCTGCACATTTTGCCTAACTGGCAGTTAGCCAACATGGTATCTCTGTACGTTTTGTCTTCTGTCTTGTCTAAGTGATAACTATATGTCTGTATTACTCAGAATTTCTAATTTTGTTTCTTACCACAGCAATTAATGGGCTAAAACACTGAATTCTCCAAAACTGTTGAAGGGAAAAGGCAGAGTGCTCGCTCACTAATAAAGACAGGAATATAACATCAGGCAAATGAAAAGAACAGTGACTGACACAAGAGGGCACTCCTTCACTTCTCAGTGTGTTGTTACATCGCCACTTGTAGCAGCTTCGTGAAGGATATCTCTCGGTGTTGCCAAGAGGCAAGAGCGGTTCTGAGGCTGGGTTTTGCTCAGGTCTGCAGAGCTCACCCTGCAGTGCAAGGACTGAGCTTGCTTGAGGAGTACAGGAATAAAATCACAACGGTTTGACTTCCCTGCATGCTTTTGCTTTTACAACGCTTCCGTCCTGTGAGCTGCCAGAAGTACCTGGCCGACTACCTACCAAACCGTGAGGAGACCTCTTTCCATTTGGTTATGGGGAATGATAGTTCTGTTAGAGCCAACACCAAAACATGAAATGCTACACACTCACAAATGAGATCTGACTCTTACAAATTCCATGTAAATACCTGCAGCAAACAGAGCTCTCTTCTTACTTTGGGGATAGCTGTATTTGTGTGGAAAGTCCAGGCCATCAATTAGAATCACTCCTGCATGTGGGAACACAGTGAGAGAAAATAATCACTTAATTATCTATGTTGGAAAAAGAATTAAAATGGAGATAGCCTCAATCCTGCTCTACAGATGTAACAGCTTGAAAATGATGGTTCCATATGCTTTGCATTACCCCAAATAGCAGGAAGTAGAATGGAAAAAGAGTGTCCATTGATCACCTGGGTCTCATCTGATTAATCGGGCAAGGCAGAGAAAGGCAAAAATTTCTTGTTAACGTGTACAAAATTAGGTTCAGGAACCAGCTCCTGTTTAACCCATATTTTTGTAATAGGAATAGAGGAGAATATTACAGGTTCTTAACCCTCCTATGTGGTAAGTTAAAATTAATTTATTTATTTCAATTAACATTTTAAAACTCATCTAGAAAATATGAAAATGTGGAATGGAAATTAGTATTGTTTTCACTTCTATTGCCACTTTTCACAAATGTTTCTTTTCTGATTTTTGCTTTGTGTTCTTGCTAGCTCTGTTTATCTCTGTGGGGGATCTGACTTTGTGATTCTGGAAAACCTTGTTGTGTTGTCAGTGCCTCTTAGTGAGGCTCAAGCAGGAACTAAGATGCTTTCAGAAACTCCCAACCTAGACAGACATGGTGTTCCTTTATTTCCCCTACTGAGCCCATGAAGGGGAATGGAGAATAATGGATTCTTCTTACGTTTCAATTGTTCTCATGTATGATGAGTCTCTGGTTTCATCAGTGAAAGCATTTGGAATGTAGATAACTAGTTTTCTTCTAGAATTGGATTCTGTACTAGTAGAGGACATTCAGTAAGCATCAACTGCAGAAAAAGAGCCTAGCTTACATTCAGTTTTGCTCCTGTTTCCAACTAGGTGTAACATCTTGATTTTTGGTCAGGAATCTTACACAGTGCTTCCTTTGGCTCTTTGCGAGCCATCAGAGAGCAACTGGAAGCAGATGCATATCAATGAGAATTAAATTGATGTCTATCTATGTATTATTTATAGCCAGTTCTTAAAAGTATTCTGAATATTCTGAAAAGTATTCTGAGTATTCTATAACAGATACTATTTATTAGTGCTATGGTGATCTTAAACTGTGAATTTCTAAAACAAAAGCCTTTCATGAGAAATGCACTATCCCTGGTGGTAATATAAAAGAGCCTTTCAGGAAGATCCAGGATCAGCATATTTCCACTTGTAAAGAATTAACCTGTACGTTTTCCCTCTCTAAAAATGCTTTAATTAAACACTTTAGAAAAAAAAAATCCAGAGCAGAGAAGTGAAGTTGAATGGACACATTAAAGGTTTCAGTAACTTTTTAATTAAGCAGTCAGTCAAGCATATCTACATAATCTTAGATGAGGCACTTAGCCAAACAGGAGTTCACTCACTGTTAGCTCTGCTCAGGGTTGGTCTGAAATCACTTGTCACTGACAGGTCTATGTTACAATAGGTTGTTCACACAATGTGTGATAGACATTTCCCCTCCTTTGACCTTTTCGGTAATAAATAAATCTGCTGCTGATACCGATTATCACCTGATATTCCACTGAGCTGGTAACAGAATTACCTTTACCACTGGCAGGGGTAAGAACAGGCCTTGTACCAAAGACCAAGATTAGTCTGGTTTATGCTGGAGAAGTCTGTGAATCCTGCTCAGGATCGCTTACGCTAATTCAGCTCTATGGTACTGGCAGTATTGGGAGCCATCATCTAGACAGCTGATGACCATGATTAACTCAGTGATGTTAAACACAGCATTCGCTAGAGCTACGTCGACAGCATTGATGCAAGTGGTTGTGTCTTACTGTTAGTATATCAGCCTGCTCTCACCTGTTGTAGAAATGCACTGAGAAGTGTGGAGTCCTGTCAAAAACACTGGTGTTGAGTAATTCGCCTTCATAACGCTGAAGTTTGCTATTCCCTGCCTAAGGAAATCTGCTTGCAGCTGCCTGTGGGTGTGCTATTGTCATGTTGTGTATAGAAGTCTGTTCAGTGACCTCCACAAAGCTGCTTCCTCTCTTATGTCCCTGTTTCTTTTCCCATCCTGTTCGTTCCGTGTTTAAGGTGTGTGTCCTTTGACATGAGAAACTCTCCCACAGTGCCTACCATAGTGGGAATCGGTTCTTAGAGGGGAAAACATATATAAAAAGTAATTAAAAAAAAACAAACACATCTGAGTTCTTTGAGTAGCAGAGCAAATAGAGCTTGCTTTTCTATATATTGTGACAAATTCTTAACACTTAATGGTATGTAAACTGCTGTAGAAGCTTTTCTTATAGTTAGGACATGCGTAAGATCTTTCTTGTGTGCGTCCTCCAGTGCCAAACAAAGGTGAGCTCATGCTGCAGTCTTTACTGCAATAAGAGTATTAAAAGATCCCTCTTCTCTGCCCAGCTCCTGTTTTTGTGAATCTTGCAGGATCTTTATGTCTTTGAGACCTCCAGTTCTCCATCAAACTTGGTAGAAATTGGTCAGTGGATTCTGAATTATTAGCTGGGTGTGGGGAATGGGAAGAGGGAAGGTGGGACAGACTGAGTGTGATTACAAAACCTCACTGCCTTAGGAAACCAGGCTCAAACGGAACACTGAGCAGGAGACTTTGGTCACACAGCAGGCTGTAAACTCAGCTGGAGGGAGGATCTAAGAACTCTGATTTGTCAGTCCAGCGTTTTCACCATCACTAGATCTGCTGAAGTCTGGCTATATCCACACAAGCTTTGTGACATCTCTAAGGCAAAAGCTCCTCTCTGTAATAACCTAACGTGCATTTTTTGTTATGAATTGAATCTGGTGCTCATTTGGCACTGTTGAACATGCAATTCCTCCCCCATTTGTCCAAAATAGCAGAAAATAACTGCCAAAACAATTATTTGCTGGCTGTGTGCAAGAGCTTACAATGGGGAGATATCCTGCTGGAGCAACTCAGTGTTTCTATCACTGTCAGCAGTTTGCAGTCCTGTCACTCCTCTCTCACACACATGCGCTCACCGTGAGCACTTGTGCTCAGAAGGAAAATGCAGGCTTGGAAGTAAATTGCCTCAATAATTCATGGGCTTTATAGCCCAGAGCAAATTATACCTTGGCTCTGCCATGAAATTCAGGTTGCAAATCCCTTTATAGCCAAGCTCATTAACAATATAAGTAAAGTGGTACATCTATAATGGCTTTTATGATCAATGCATTATAATCTTTGGAGAGTATTAAGTGGTAAACTTGCAACATCAAGAGTGAACCATCAATAGGGTCTGGATATAGTAAGAGTTGGAGAAAAGCCATTTCTTTTTCTGCCTTGCATTTGCCTTTGTCTGCCTCGCTGCCCCAAATACCATTTATTCACCGTGCAGTATGTGCTGTACTACCAATCAATAAAATAGATCTTACTGGATAAAATAGATCTTACCAGCCTGAGGGCTGGTTTGCTGCATTAAGCAGCAAGTTTGAAATATGTAGATGGTCAGGAATTCCTGCAGGATCTTTGTTACCTCTTCCAATAGTGTCTGTGACTTGGTCCTAGGTGTTACAATATTAACTAAAAAGGGGGAGGTGGGGGGTGTCAGCCCTTCATCCTGAGGGAGGAGATTGCACGTAAATGGTTTAATCTATGGGAGATTTTTTTGCAATTGCTTTTAAAACCTAACTCATGTTAGTTTTATATTAAAAAATCATTTGTCGTTCTTCACTGAAGATGAGGTATGCCCTGGTGAAATGGATTCAATCTTGGTTTTGACTGCCACATGTTGAACCTATGACACCACCTTTGTCAGAGCATGTATCACAGAACAGGGGGT